TTTTGCTCCTCATTAGTGGGCGGGGCTTAGCGGGTCACGTGATCTGACTGTTGAAGCAGCGATGGAGAGAAGCTAAGGAAGGTGAGCCGTTCCACCACCCTTATTTCTCGTGTTTTTGTCATTAATTATGACTAGACAATGCCTTATTCTCTGTATAAACTCCCTTAATTATAGACTATCTATGTCAATTGGAGGATTTGTGGGAGAATTATATTTACTAGGGAAACGTATTTGATGTTGTGGCTAACTGCTAGCTAATGTTAGCTGTCAGAGACTACTTCCTGTCTGAATGCTGAACCAAATACACACATATTTTAGCTCTTTTTGACTGTTTTACTGCACTTTAACTATAATTTCCTGGTTTTAAAACTCGTCAAATCATCTAATGGTGCCATTTTATTCTAGAGCATCACCTGATTCAATGCTTTTTATGGGTGGGGGTGATGTTATTGGTCTTTATTAATCAATAAACATGTATATCAAAAGGTTATTCTCACTAAGAGAAGAGATATTTATGCCATGTTTAGCTATTTGCTGATTTTTTTGCATTTGTTCATTTAGAATATAGTTGATAACGTTTGCCACAATGAAGTATACTTGCAATTATGGGAATAATAAAGGTTTGCAATAAGGGAGAAGTGTTAATTGAAACCCTCCCTTTCTCATTATCCTGTTTTACAATTGTCATGAACTTTATACATTAAAGGGATTTATAATAACAGGAGGTGAACACCGACCTCGTGAGGGACAGCCCTGCAGGTTTAATAACACAACAAACAAGGGATTACAATAGTTTGGTCTGAAACAGTGACACACAGTTGATCTAGAGTTTATTCACAACATTTCTAAACTACATATTCATTTAAATTGTCCTGTCATTTAGGTAAATGTTCTTTACAAATTCTCTGTCTTGTATATCTTAGGCATTTACTGTCGTTTTAATGTCTATTTGCCCGTTTTGAATGCGCTTTATTTTTGTAATGCAATTTAAACTGCATATCTTTTATGAAAGTGCAAAGACATTATTTTTATTATAATTATTAGTGCTTTTAGGTATAACACCAGTGTTTCCCACAGATCTGAAATATACTTGGGCGGGTGGTGGCAGCGGGCGGAGGGGGGGGGGGGGTGCGCAAAAAAAAAAAAAAAAAGTTTTCATTTTGTATAATCATTTTGCGTAAAGATGGCACTCAAGGGCACACTAGTGGTGGTGTTCCTGGCGGGATTTGAACTCAGCCTTCCGATCTTCAGCCCACCTCACTATCCATTAGATCAATCACTACCTCTCAAATGGAGCATATTGTGTTTACATAATGGTGACCACACTGTTTTGAGACCCACTGAGAACTTAAACTAAGTTAACTATCTAAACACTCAGAGATTCCTTTACCTCACCTGAGCTGAGGTTATCCCGAGCTTGAAATGACACAACAGAGACCAATCAGGGCTTTGATTATGATCTCTATGACCGTGGCCATGTTGGCAGGCCACATCATTGTAGACAGCCAGTCACCCTGTGTGAGACAGGCCACTTAACGAGGCGAGATCAGAGCAAGGGAGCGAGGGATCATTGTCCACAAGTTAATCGATCGCCAGATGGCGTGGTGGTCCGGACGAATAAAAAAAAAAAAAAAATTATAAAAATAAATAAAAAATAAAAAATTGGTCGCGAAATTACTTGGGCGGCCGTTAATATACCTGGCGGCCCGCCCAAGTATAGTCTATGTGTGGGACACCCTGAACACTGCAACATCTAAAACTGCAGAGCTGTTCAACTCTTAATTTACACATACAGTACTTTTTAATGTTTATATTGTGTGAAATCCACCTACGGAAACAAATAAATAACCTGAACCTGCGGCTGTTTTTTTTGTATATATAATATAATTCATAATTCATTTAGTTTTTTTAATTGTGTTAAGAAAAGGAAGCAGTCAATAACATGTTATTTCACCGGGATGATAAGACAGAACAGATAAACCATAGATATTCAGAAAAATTAACCATATTAAAAAAACAACACTTTTTTTATATATCTTTTACTGTGTTTCTGTAAATTCCTTGCATGTGGACCCACGGGACTATCAGAAACGTTGCTATCAGAAACAATGTCCGACTGTTTTGGACGTAATATGGTCGGTGTTTACATTAGCATCGCTAACACTCAGAGCTAACCTGTACTGGAGAGCATGTGTGTGAAGAAGCAGGAAGTAAAAAGGAACTCACCTTGTGGTATAACCGGCAAGAGAGAAAGCCTTTGAGCTCCAAACTGTTTCAGAGAGAATCCTTGATAATCCATGATATGGCGTTTCATCACGGCAGCATTTAGTTTAGACAGTAGCTGCCGGGTCCCGCATGAGCTCAGCCCCCTCCTCTTTTAATTTATCAATTTCTTTATTTTTTAAAGCTTTATACCAAAATCATCACTTTAGAAACAGGAAGTGAAATAGAGGGATATGAGGCGTGGCTAGAATGGGTGATCTGTTTGGTATTTTGAGCAAAACACTTCATAGACATGCTTTTATATATTTTCATATATCTGAGACCTATGCCTACAAATAGCATGATAGGTGACCTTTAATCAGTACATCCAATTCTGATTAAAGTTGCTATAAAATCTAAGTATTGATTGTTTTGTGACAGGGATCTGCGCTGGCAGTGGACTCCTCTCTTCACAGATTGCTTGTGTAATGGCAGCAGTTTGGCAGCAGGTTTTGGCAGTGGACGCAAGGTGAGACTCCATCATGCTTTCAATACTCCACACTGATGAAGAGAGACAATCAGACGTGTACAGACAGAGGGATCGAAAAACCGTTTCCCACAATCCAGAATACAAATATATATAAAAATATGTATAAAATATCCTTGTGAGTCACCGTGTGTGTGTGTGTGTCTTCCTTCCCTCTCTGCAGGTACAATGCTTACCGCACGCCTACGTTCCCCCAGTTCCGAACTCAGTACATCCGGCGCCGCAGCCAGCTGCTCAGGGAGAACGCCAAGTGTGGCTTTGAGCCGGGTCTGCGCAGGCAGTACCTGAGGCTGCGCAGTCAGCTGCTGGCCCTGCGCTACGGGCCGCTGTCCGAGCAGAGCAGCTTCAGGGCCAGCAGTGTGCGCAGCTCCCGCACCACTCTGGACCGCATGGAGGTCAGACCCAGAGAAACAGACAGGCAGAGGAGGCACAATAGCAGGAGGAAGGGGGGGGTAGTCTGTAGTCATTTGGAAAAGGAGATATTTAAAGTATCTGGAAATATAGGACTCAACATATGAGAGCCATCTGGAAGGCCAGTATGGAGCGGGTTTCCTGCCAAAACGTAATAAGTGCGCTACGATTCACTAACACACACAGTGTGGGTTCCAAATACTGAACAATTTCCAAATCAAGGAATCAAGGAAGTACTCAGTAACTCTTCCAAACACCATTGCCCTAACTTTCCTTTAATGTATTACATTTTACTCAACCTAATCTCTAGTCTACTTGTTTTTTAAATCATGGTCTCATCTAGAGTATAATAGACAATAAGGTGCCTAAGGGAGTTTAGAACATTTTGAAGCACTTTAAGTAAAGAAATATTGTGCCGCAAGTCAACATGTGAATCTGTATTTAGTTGCAAACCAAGGTGTGTTTGTTAGTGATTCGTAGGGTGTTTGTAAAACATGTTTTGTTTGTTTTTGCAGGGAATGAGCTCACTTTTTAGTTTCCATGAATCAGCAGCAAGCAACACTTTTGTTGCCGTTCAGCTTAGTTGAAATGGCTGGAATTGCCCTCTATTTAATACCATCTAGTTAAAAATGCATGATATTTAATGCACATTTTCAGAATGATTGTGTTGTTTTTTTTGTTGGTGTTTATTTGCACTGACTCCTACGAGGTTCTCCCTCCTCCTCCTGCAGGACTTTGAGGAGGACCCCCGCTCTCAAGGAGCCCGAGGCCACCGCCGGTCCGTCAGCAGAGGATCCTACCAGATACAGGCCCAGATGAACAGAGTCGTGTACGACGAGAGGTAAACGCAGAGTTCAGCTGCTGTCTCATCTAGTTCTTTTGTGATCACATTTTTATTGATTAATACACAACATGTACAACCAAAAGCACAACCTTTCTTCTTTTTTTAGATACAATTACTAGAAGTAGATGAGAAAAAGAAAAATTAGACGACAGCAATTACTTCCAAAATATACAAAATGCAGAATACATATGTAAGCTATAAATAATAACAATAATACAGAAATAAAATAAAACAAACCCAACCCTCCCTCCTAGACATATACAGTAAACACACCACACACACACACACACACACACACACACACACACACACACACACACACACACACACACACACACACACACACACACACACACACACACACACGGTGTTCGCTGTCAGCGCTATCAGACAGGAGTGTATACCATCACTAACAAGCTTCTGTCTCAGGTCCTTTAGCATTTTACTGTCAGAACCAGAATCCCTCTATTCGTCGCACAAAGGGAAAATGTACATTTGTTACAGCAGAAAAAGAGCCAAAGGCTGCTTAATGTTACCGAAGCATGCAAAGAAAAAACTATTAAAGATACAAAAATTACACAATTTACAAAATACACATCCTGTAAGAGTTCTGAGAGATTTAGCAGCCAGGTCTATATTGCAGTTATTAACGGCATATATATATATATTGCACATCATTTATATTTAACAACAAGGGCTGTTATAGCATAGTCTGTATTGTTGTGTGTGTGTGTGTGTGTGCGTGTGTGTGTGTGTGTGGGGTCTAGCAGGGGCTGTGGTGGTTATATGGTCTTCATTTGATTTGTCCTTTGAGCTGTTGTGTTTATTTGGATTTGCTGGCTGTAATTATGGTTTGGCTGCACTTAGTCATCATCAAAATCTCTTATATTTATTTTTTAAGCTGAGCCATGTCTCGAGTACTAAACCTTAGTAACACAAACACTTGTGAAGTGAATTTCTAAGGAAGTTAAGTAGTCAGATTTAAGTATCTACTGTCGTAAGCCAAGCTTTTCCCAATCAACTCAAATTCTCTAATCAAGCACAGAGCACTGTCAGCTAGATTGTATTCTATTCTTTTAATAAATGGTGTTTATTTAAGATAAGATAAGATAAGAGGTACTTTAATGATCCCAAATTGGGACATTTTTGCGTTGCAGCAGCATAAAAAACAACAAAACAAGGCATTGCACATAAGTAGAAATTAAAGAGTAGAAATAAACAATACCTGAATTTAAACAACTCAAAAAAACAATACTAGAATTAAAACATTAAAAAAACACTAGAATTTAAACATCTCAATTTCACTTCATTTTATTCCCTGCAGGCCTCCGGGCAGCCTGGTGCCGACCTCGGTGGCGGAGGCCAGCCGGGCGATGGCCGGAGACACGACTCTGAGTGAAAACTACGCCTTCGCTGGCATGCACCACATCTTCGACCAACATGTAGACTCTGCTGGTAAGTTGAACTTTATTTTCGTACATTAAAGGTGAGGTTTATTTAGCAAAAGATAATGGTTTCATTCCCCGTCAGAAACAGCTGTCAAACAGCAAGGAAAACCGGTGACAATAATCTACTAAGTAATCCTTTCTGTTTCTCCAAACTGCATTTACTGTACCTCATACAACCCCACATTATAACATCTCTTTGAAGTAGTCAATATACTTCTATTTTGGGTCACTTTTAGAATTGCTCTATGGACTGCAACGACACTTGCTATACATCTGTATAAATGTGACAAATCACTTTTACAAAGATTACCTCATACATCCCTCCTTAAAACCGAAACCACGCATTTCCTCCTTTATTTCCCTCTTCCAATGCAAAACAAATCAATACAAAGGAGCTTTATTGACATCAAAAGCATAGCATCGCCAAAGCGTACTGCACAAGGCGTTACAACAACATGTCAATGATAAGATAAGAAGTACTTTATTGATCCCAATTTGGGACATTTTTGTGTTGCAAAAAATGTAAAGACTAGAAATAAATATTCCAAAATGTAAACATTTCAATAGAAATAAGCATTAAAAAAAGAAAGTAGAAAATATACATGTTGAATTACAAATGTACAGTCACAAAATATAAAGCAAGTTATTATATATACGTATATATATATATATATATATCCGGCACAACAGCAAACACCAAAACATACATGCCAACAACAACGTGCAAATTAAAGGTCAAAGAAAGTGTGTGTGTGTGTGTGGTGTGTGTGTGTGTGTGTGTGTGTGTGTGTGTGTGTGTTGTGTGTGTGTGTGTGTGTGTTGTGTGTGTGTGTGTGTGTGTGTGTGTGTGTGTGTGTGTGTGTGTGTGTGTGTGTGTGTGTGTGTGTGTGTGTGTGTGTGTGTGTGTGTGTGTGTGTGTGTGGTGTGTGTGTGTGTGTGTGTGTGTGTGTGTGTGTGTACATGGTAGGGCTGCTCGATTATGGCAAAAATCATAATCTCGATTATTTGGGTCAATAATTGTAATTGCGATTATTAAATGCGATTATTTATTGGAGAATGTGTTTTTGAACGGTATGTTTTTAACAGTTGATTACCCTGAACTTTAAGTATAATTCAACTGAAAAACCAACAAAAAATTATTTATTTTAAAAATCGTTTTATTTCGAATACGTTGTTTTCGTAATCGTTGCAAGCCATAATCGCGATTAAAATACAATTAATTGAGCAGCCCTAGATGGTATGATTCTGTGACTGTGATAGAGTCATATCCAGGATGCAGTCAGGAAACTCTGCAGGTGTGTAGGTGGGGTTAAAATGAGGTAGGGTCGGTGCAAAAGTGGTGTAAGTAGAGGGTTAGAAAGTTGGGAAAGACTTGTCAAAACTGGCACAATATGACCGGTTTGTCACAATGTCTTGTTAATATCAATGTATCAAGGTAAAGTGTGTTTATTTTAGGCACATTCAAAAATGACTTGGACTTGCCTCCTTGTGATTTACACTCTGTCAGTGTGTGTGTGTGTGTGTGTGTGTGTGTGTGTGTGTGTGTGTGTGTGTGTGTGTGTGTGTGTGTGTGTGTGTGTGTGTGTGTGTCCTAGCATTACTATACTTGTGGGGACCTAAATCTGTTTATATAGTCACGTGTGGGGACTCTCCTCCCTCATGGGGACAAAATGGAGGTCCCCATGAGGGGAATCATTAATTTTAGGGTGAAGACTTGGTTAGGTTTAGGTTAGGGTTAGACATGTGTTGGTTATGGTTAAGGTTAGGATAAGTCTCCTGGAAATGCATGTAAGTCAATGTAATGTCCCCTGAAGTGATGTATACATGGTGTGTGTTTGTGTGTGTGTATGCAAAAGTTGGAGGAGAATTACCTCATACATCCCTCCCAGGGTGTCCGCGGGGTCTTAAAAGTTGATCAATCAATTTAGCGAAAATTAAGGCTATTAAAAAGCATTAAAAAGTATTAAACAGCATTTTCCAAGGTATTACATTTTGTAGCTTAAGATAAGATAAGATAGAGCTTTATTGTCTCCCTTAGGAGAAATTTGTCTTGGGCATCGAGATAAACAAACATTCTCTCCCGATCCCGAGTCGCGTGCAGTGCCGCGCCTCTTCCTATTCCAATTCCAGCTTGTTTTCAATAAGTATATGAATGGTCCAAAGAGGTTGTGTTCTACAGTCTGCCTGAATGTAATCATGGCGTAGGTGTGTAGTGTGATTCTGTGTAGTTTATTGATGGCATCCCGTTGGGTTTGACGTCATCTGAACAGGACATCGCACGCTCACTGCTTGATAGCGCGGAGGTCCGTTTACGCCGGTTGTTAAACAGCATCGTTATGGGGAAATGCAAGTCTGCGTCCAAATGGTTGGAAGATAAGGAGGAAGGACAATCAATACTGTATATAGTCAATGTGACGTAAAGTGTGTCGCCAAGGTAACCGGTTAGAACTCGAAGTGGTGATGAGCTCTTAAAATGTATGGAAAGGGTCTTAAAAGGAATTACATTTGACTTCAGGATTCCTGCATATACCCTGCCTCCTTAAAACCCAAACTACGCATTTAATGTCCTCCTTTAGAGGGTTAGGGTTTCTTTTTAGATGATCATTTTCCAAAGGGGGGTTCGTTTAGCATGAAACACTTGAAGTAACTAAAGGATAAGTTAAACAAGAAAGTAGAAAGAAAGGGAGGTGATAGAAAACAATTTCTGCTAAACAGTGAGCATTGATTGAGAGTCAGAGCTAAACATTTCAGATGTGTGTATCTCACACGGCACTGTCCTTTTAATTCATGTATCTTTGTTATTCATGTTTTATTATCTTTGCTTTTAGAGGAGTGTTTTTAAATGTCATTTTATAATATGTTTCTTAATGCTCTTGATGTCTTTCATTTTTGTAAAGCACTTTGAATTGCCTTGTGTTGAAATGTGCTGTATAAATAAACTTGCCTTGCCTTTATTTCCACTTAAAAAGCATAGCATCGCCAAAGCGTGTCGCACAATGCGTTACAACAACATGTCAACGATATATGTGGCACAACAGCAAACACCACCAATGTGCAAATTAGTGTGTGTGTGTTTGTGCGCATTGTCACTCAATTCTCTTTCTTCTTCCCCCAGTCCCCCGGCTGCAGTTTGCCAACGACGATAAGCACCTGCTGGCCTGCTGCTCTCTGGACGGGACGCTGTCCATCATGACGCTGTCCCCGTCCCCCCCCAGCGTGAAGGTGACTCTGAAAGGTCACGCGGGTCCCGTCACAGACTTCGCCTGGTCCCTGAGCAACGACATCATCGTGTCCACGTCTCTGGACGGGACGCTGCGGATCTGGAACACGGGAGACGGGCGCTGCATCCGAGAGGTCCGAGACCCTGAGTCCAGCGAGCTGCTGTGCTGCACCTTCCAGCCCATGAACAACAACCTGACCGTGGTGAGAGATTCGTTACTCTATTATCAATGTGTTTAAGATAAGATGTATTTATTTATATATAAGTTTATCCACTCATGGCAATTATTATAAAACTAAATCTGTACACTTTACGTCGTTTTTGTAGCTCATGATGGAAAGGAGCAGGGAGAAGATAATCTTATTTTACCTGCCCCTTTTTCTTTTGAACTTTTTCTTTGTCCTTCACAGAGATAACCTAAATAGGACATACATGGAGATGCTTACATAACTGCAGGGTTAATCATTCATGCCCTCCTTGGACACCAAAAAGACATACAATTGATTGATGCTATCGATTTTCGTATTGTGCAAACATTATCAACATATTACAGACATTTACCTGCCCCTTTTAATTAAGTAAAAATACAAATCGATGGAGATATTTAAAGATAAGATATGCTTTACCAATCCCAATACGGGAAAAATATTTCTGCAAATGTAGATATTTTATTTCAGTACATTTTAATTAAAAGGATCTGAATACTTTGTCCAACCCTGCTAGAAATCAACCACAAGTCATTCATGATTTTTGTTGCTTTTATTTCCTCTTTTCAACATTCTCTACATTCTTTAAATGAACGAATGACCCTGCATCTCATTTTCTCATTGTCTCATTTGTGTGAATGACGTACAGGCAGTGGTGTAACTATCGACGGTGCAGCCCATGCAAAAAAATATAAAAAATGTGGGGCCCCAATGGCATTGAACGGTTCACGCAGTCTTCAAAGTAACCAAGCAACCTACATTAATTTGTAATCTGTCTGTCCAATGACCTTGCTCCCTTTCATGTCATGTGATTGCGTGACGAGCGATCCGTTTAATCAACCTGTGCTGTAGCTAGCAGCAGCAAGTTCGGCAGCATTATAAAAAATGTAATAGCTTGCATTTATAATGTACAGCAAACCAAAGCACAAGAGCGGCGCTCAAAAGAGAAAGGACAAGAGAGAGTGTATGTCCGTGCGTGTGTGAGTGCATCGGCGTGTGCTTATGTTTGGGGCGATGGGGGGGGGGGGGGCCCAAAACAATATTTGCACCGGGGCCAATCACAACTTTGTTACGCCACTGCGTACAGGGGTTTTTCTCTGAAAATATAGTACGAGGGCGCTAACGTCACTTCCGGACAGAATTACGGCCCGTCTTAAAGCTGCTGAGTCATATATTGCATCTCAAACCACAAATAAATCCAGAGTTACGGTTTCTTTACTTCCTCTACAGAAAAAAGGACAGTAAAATAAACGACAAACCGACCGGACATCGACCGGATATTTTTTCGTAGCTCCGTAAAAACAAAGCTGTCTGACGCTCTATTTATCATCATATTTCTGGAGTAATTATACTGTTTTTGACGAACAGAACTATTGTTTTCTGGCATCACTTGAACATTTTACGGGGGGGGAATCTGCATTTTGGTATGAGGGCGTACGCTGAGACCCTGTTACTTGGTTTAAACAAAACCCTGACGTTTATTCACAACACAGTAATGCATGCAGAGGTAAAGCTTTTCACGTCCCTCCCGACAGCTGAATGCATGCAATATGTACGCAGAAATCCATTCAGATTTACAATAGAATGTCGAATAGCGAAACAAAAGTGCTAAATGTCGAGGATAATGAAGTTGCTTTTCCAATGACGAACACTTAAACTGATGAGCAGGATGTGAACTGAAAGCCGTGCGCAGCAGTGTCCATTTACGGCTCATTAAACGGAACATGAGGGAGATGGATTTTAGTTTTTAACCGACACAGCAAGCAGTAATATTAGAGAGGAAGAAATGTGGGTTCCTGATTTGTTGAGATTTAACAGTTTTTATCTGCCTGAACAGAAGATGCCACTTCAATCAGGAGAGACGGTTTTGATGTAAGAGTACATATTTATTGCCAGGAATACGCAAATGAATGTAATGGGGTTTTGGCGAGTAGGCCCCGTTGTGAAGGAGTATCATTCGGGAGGGGAGAACCGATCCGATGAAACCCCCCGGGGTCTAGACCCTGGTGGTGGTGAATGGATGGTTGGGTTCGGTCTGAAGGGGAGTGGCTTAGCTTGACCCTGGTGGTGGTGAATGGATGGTTGGGTTCGGTCTGAAGGGGAGGGGCTTAGCTTGACCCTGATGGTGGTGAATGGATAGTTGGGTCGGTCTGAAGGGGAGGGGCTTAGCTTGACCCTGGTGGTGGTGAATGGATAGTTGGGTCGGTCTGAAGGGGAGGGGCTTAGCTTGACCCTGGTGGTGGTAAATGGATGGTTGGGTTCGGTCTGAAGGGGAGGGGCTTAGCTTGACCCTGGTGGTGGTGAATGGATAGTTGGGTCGGTCTGAAGGGGAGGGGCTTAGCTTGACCCTGGTGGCGGTGAATGGATGGTTGGGTTCGGTCTGAAGGGGAGGGGCTTAGCTTGACCCTGGTGGTGGTGAATGGATAGTTGGGTTCGGTCTGAAGGGGAGGGGCTTAGCTTGACCCTGGTGGTGGTGGTGGTGAATGGATGGTTGGGTTCGGTCTGAAGGGGAGGGGCTTAGCTTGACCCTGGTGGTGGTGAATGGATAGTTGGGGTCGGTCTGAAGGGGAGGGGCTTAGCTTGAACCTGGACTCAGAGGGACAGGAGGTGAAAGGGGGTGGAGGAGGGTTGCGTCGTGTCACCTGAAATGACAACTGACAGAGGGGAGAGCAGATTTAAAAAGGTTTAGCGGAGCGCTATGATAGGCTTGTGAGAATAGAGCGAAGTGATTGGTTAAGCTGGGGAGTGACGCCCCGATCACTTATTGAGAGGAGAGAGAGTAGTGACATGGAAATAGTAAATGAATGAGTGGGGACGGTCTTCCTGGTTGAACTTGCGCTGAGCTTCATTTGATGCTTCCTGATGGATTTCAGAGTTAGACATGGGAGAGAACGATGAGACAGATATCTGTATAACTGTGATTAATGCAAACTTCTAAATCATCCAGAAATTCTCCTTTTTTTAAATCATTCACAATTTAATAAAAAATCCATATAAAAAATATATTATAAATATATTAAATTGTATACATTATAATAGATTTGGTTTGTTACACATTTTTATCCTGTTGTTATTTATCTTAAATGTGTTGTGTGACGCGTTGCAGAGCTTCATATTCTATTGATGGGAAAATTGACCACCATTTTAATTTAACACCAACTTGATGATGTCTTTCTCTCTAAGCTTTCTATCAATAGTTTTCCAGCTCAATAATAAACACAGATGATGATTGACAACACATTTTTTCAACATTTTCTTTATTTAACTAATTTAATATTAATACAGACATTGAATTAGTTAAAAAGCTTAAAAGCTTAGTTTATAAGGAAAATAACCCTCCTATCCGTCATTACATTTCAAGGTGTTGTTCAGAGGCCTAAAATATTTCCGCATTGTTAATGCACAATAACATTTGAGATATAATACACTAATCTCCAGATATTAAGGAGAGACAGAGATTTGTTCTGAAACCTGCAGAACACGATTTGTATAATCATGGGCGTAGACATGTCCCCCCCACTTTTCAAAATACCGTTTGTGTCCCCCCCACTTTTCAAAATCCCGTTTGTGTCCCCCCCACTTTTCAAAATCCCGTTTGTGTCCCCCCCCCCACTTTTCAAAATCCAGTTTGTGTCCCCCCCACTTTTCAAAATCCCGTTTGTGTCCCCCCCACTTTTCAAAATCCCGTTTGTGTCCCCCCCCCACTTTTCAAAATCCCGTTTGTGTCCCCCCCACTTTTCAAAATCCCGTTTGTGTCCCCCCCACTTTTCAAAATCCCGTTTGTGTCCCCCCCCCACTTTTTCAAAATCCAGTTTGTGTCCCCCCCCACTTTTCAAAATCCCGTTTGTGTCCCCCCCACTTTTCAAAATCCCGTTTGTGTCCCCCCCACTTTTCAAAATCCCGTTTGTGTCCCCCCCCCACTTCTCAAATGTGTTTATTATTATGTTTTACCCAAGCTGTGTGTGTGTGTGTGTGTGTGTGTGTGTGTGTGTGTGTGTGTGTGTGTGTGTGTGTGTGTGTGTGTGTGTTGTGTGTGTGTGTGTGTGTGTGTGTGTGTGTGTGTGTGTGTGTGTGTGTGTGTGTGTGTGTGTGTGTGTGTGTGTGTGTGTGTGTGTGTGTGTGTGTGTGTGTGTGTGTGTGTGTGTGTGTGTGTGTGTGGGGTGTGAGATATGTCCATCTATTTAATATAGTTGTTCAAAATAAGTTAAGAAATCATTCCACTGTCAGTTAAAAAAAAGGGAGTGATTAGTAAAATATGCATAAATAAAAAGAAAGAATGCAGACTAGGTAAAATGAAGATAGGAGAGAGGAGTTGATCAATTATGTGTTATTGGTTGTGAGCATATTCTAATGGTTTTTGGAGTATTGAAATATATACAGTTCTGTTTCATATGAGTGTTGAGAGCTGTATCCATCAGTGCACCAGATTGATGCCTTTAACTTAATTTGAAGGCAAACATCTTCTCCTCATTATATACACTACACATTTCTTAGCACCATAGTCCCAATATATTTGTAGAAAGGCAGGAAATGGAATTAAATCGAGAACAATGTTTCATTGCGGAGGACCCCCTGTTTTGTGTCCCCCCCACTTCTCAAACCAAAGTTACACCCTTGTGTATAATACTAAATACACAATACTAAAAAAAATACTTCTAGTACGTCGACACGTATTTAGCATTTTACAAATATTGCATCTCTCTCAGATTAACCATAATGCATTGTAATCAATAACGATCTCATTAAACAAACAAGAGACGTACAACATTCAGGAGAAGACAACATACAAACAACAAGCTACTTATTGTTCAGCCCTGAGAGTTAGAGCTCAAATAAATATTTAGTCTTTACCAAAAATCTAGCTTTCTCTAGTCTCACTGCATCCTCACAATCAGTGCTTCCCCGTCAGTGTATATATATATTCTAATGAGTGCTGAACGTCCTCCTGCTGGCTCTGTGTTGCAGGTGGGGAACAGCAAGCATCACCTGCAGGTGGTGAACATCTCCACGGGGAAGAAGGTGAAGGGGGGGTGCAGCAAGCTGACGGGCCGTGTGCTCTCGCTCTCCTTCGACGCTCCGGGGAGGATCCTGTGGGCGGGAGACGACCGCGGGAGCATCTTCTCCTTCCTCTTCGACATGGCCACAGGTACGCAAGAAACACCTGGATGCAGCTCAATCAGGGAGGCAGAAGTCATCTACCATTGTATCAAAAAAGCCCTCACCTTTTCACTTTAGCCTTCAATTCCTAATCCCCTAACCCCTCCTCCCTCTTCCACCTAGCTGAGCGCTTTGAGCACCAGGAAAAGCGCTATATAAATAACATGTATTATTATTATCTCTAGTATCTCCAGTAAGCGCAATAAAGTGAAAACATGTACAAACAGTATTCTGCAGACTTACCAATAAAACCTTGTTCGCTAGTTCCTCTAAAAAAATCACCCCGTGATAATTGATACCTTTTTTTCAATGATAGTTTAAATAAATAAAAAAGAGAAATCCTTTAATATCGTCAATCAAATCACGATTGCAGTATTAGTAAAAATAATAGCACTTATTCTTTTTTTCTAATTTTGGAGATCTAGTCAGTAAGATGGGAAATATTATTTCTTACATTTGGTTGCAAGTGTTTTTAATGTCATATAACTGAGCTTGGGAATTAGTACTAGACATGTCTCTAATGTACAGATCATAATTAGCATTTGTTGCTAACTGCAGCATTTTTTAATTTTATACTGATGTTCGTTAACTTGCAATGTATCTTCAAATAGAATACTTTAAAAAAACGAAAGGGTCTTCATCAAGATGCCCTAGCCATCAAGATATTATTTAATGAGTCTTAATTTTAGTTGCATGTGTTTTTAATGTCTTATAACGGAGTACAATTCCCTTGCGATTGGTACGAGACGATAAATAATTGATTATAATATACGGTTGTAAAATAGCGTCTTTTGATCTGATAATGATCTTCATTAACCAGTACCAGTTTGTATCAGACATAATAATCGCAATCAGTTATTTCTTGCCAATTCCCCCTTGAGTCCTGCATGTCGGAGGTTGAGAGGATGGATGTGTCACTGCCGGTCTCTGCTGTTGCCCCCCCCCTCCTACAGGGAAGCTGACCAAAGCCAAGCGTCTGGTGGTGAGCGAGGGCAGCTCCATCTGCAGCATCTCTGCTCGATCCTGGATCAGCCGCGAGGCCAGAGACCCCTCGCTGCTGATCAACGCCTGCGTCAACAAGCTGCTGCTCTACAGGTCAGTGTGGGGGGGGAGCTGGTCATTAACTGTTCTGTCTATGCTAGGGCTTCAAATAATAATAATACATTTGATTTCTAAGTGCTTTTTCAGGTGCTTTACAGTGGTGAATAACAACTAATAACAAATAACAAGTCATTTCATAGCAAATCATTTGAAGATGATATTCTAGGCTAACCGACTAATGGTTTTTGTCAGAAAATAGTCAAACAAATCCATACCTGTTCCTCAAATCAGTCCAAAACCCAGAGAAATTCACTCTAATGTGATTTAAAACAGAGAAAATAATGTTTTTTTTAAAGGTATTTTTGAGGCAGTCCTGCTTGGCTACATAATGCAGCTAATGCTAACAGAGGTTGCGTTGAGTTACATTATGAGACGTTCAAGCTCTACTCAGTAAAAATGTGTATTGGGTCAATTATAGCATTACATGTAGATTTATGTGAGATACTGAAATAAATAATGTTGTTTCAAGGAGATGTTTTCAAAGCAATATAAAGAAGAAACTAACGAGGAAATTGTATTGTTTTTATTTATTTGTACTTTTTTTTTGTTGCAACTTCACATGTTTTTTATAAATATTAATTATTGTATTTAATTTTTTTACTGCACATTCCTACTTTAACTTCTTATGTCTGTATAAATATTTTTATTATATTATTTATTTTGAAATTGAACACAATGTCCAATTTTGCCCTGAATAAATACATTTGATTCTAAATTACGACGATGGGTTTGTTTACTTTTCTAACAAAAACCAGTATGCAAAATGTTAATAAAGGAGTGTATGTTAAAGTACATGGGATTAACTGTATTGTAGTTTTCACAGTAGTATCGAAATTGTATAAAAACTTGTAAAATGTCACTGGTTTTAGTGTGTACGACTAAATATCTGGTATCGTGACGTCCCTACCTGATAATATAAAGCCTTCTTCATCGGTGCATCTTCACTCCGAAGGTATATTTAGTAGGGCTGGGAATCACCAGGCTCCCCACGATACGATACTATCATGATACTTAAGCCACGATACGATAGTACTGCGATGCTACGATATGCTAAGTATTGCGATACGATATATTGTGATATTGCAAATCACATGGCTCATGTCCGTCTTCCCTTCCTGGTTAAAAAATGTATTTGCAATATGAATAGATTCAAGATATTTATTGTCATATGCACAGTAAACAGACAGTTACACCGTACAATGAAAATCAAGTAAAATACAGGAATATGAGAATAAATAAATACTTTTAAGTTTGGCGGCAACAGCAGCATAAAAGGGCACATAAGTAGCAGCAGTTTAAAAGATATTTAAATAGTTGTATCGCACATGGTTCACAGTGTATAAAATATTGCACGGCAGACAACAAGTGCACTATGCATTGTTAAAGTAGGTAGTGCAAATGGTGAGTGTCAGTGTGTCTGTCAGCACTCACAGTTCAATCAGTGTGTTTGTGTGGGGGGGGGGGGTAGTTTAAATAGTTTATGTAAATAACCCAATTTGTGTTCTTTGAAGCTGAAAAGGAGATGGCATTGTTTTTGTTACTTTCATTGCAACATGTCTTAACGTAACTTCCTGTTTCATATAGACAAGCTTTTATTTTGAATGGACTTTTTTTGCGCTATTAGCAGGAAGTTCCCGAAGCAAAAACTTGACGGAGAAAAAGAACGGAGATAAAGTACAGATATACGGCGACATCAAAAGATAAAGTTTACATTTAAGTGTTAGCAAGGTTAGTGTTAGCTGTAATGTAAAAATGTGCTTTGTGTCTTAATTAGTTTATAAACTGTATTATAACTTTGCTAACTATTTGACTACGTCACTCTGAGTCCCTCACAGTCTGTCAGTCCCGCCTCAAAACACATCTTTTCAACTCTGTCTACCCATAAGCCCCCCCCCCTCTCAATCCTCTTGACTGCCTTTTTATTTTTGTATTTTACTATACTTACTTGTTTGCCTGTCCTTGTTTGTCTACCCTCCCTCATACTGTAAAGCGTCTTTGAGTTGTGAAAAGCGCTATATAACTAAAATGCATTATTATTATTATTTGAAGTTCACTTGTCTAATGGTATTCTAAAGTAATGCTCATATGGCAACTCAGTCTCACTCAGTGTTATAGTCACGAAATTAATCTATTGATTCGTGTTCACCAACACGATTTCGCCATTTCTTTCATGTCAGACAGAACGATTTTAAAAGCAATGTATTTATATTGGTAGTATGTTTCGTGCCTGCACCAAATAATAACAACTTAGAAGGAAAAACAGATTTAAAAAATACAGTATTCTGAGGCTCTGAGCCGTTTCTTTTCCTCGTGGACGGCAAAAAAACTCCGACATTATACAATTTAAAATAAAAGGCTTAGGGTAAGATATTGAGTAAGAACATGTTTTTATGAACCACGCAGCTTCCGGTCTTCCAAGACCCGACCGGACAAAAAGACGTGGTGCAGGCACGAAACACAGTACCATACATTGCTTTTAAAATCGTTCTGTGTGACACGAAAAAAATGCGGAAATCGCGTTGGTGAACACGAATCAATAGATCAAATTAATTTCGTGACTATAACACAAAGTGTCGTGAGCCTGGGTTGCATATGGATTTAGCTTAAATGTATTTGTTGTTTTTAGTCTTTGTGTAGCTCTCACGTTGGTTTTTGGAGTTTTCAATAAATTAGAACCATCAGTCAAGCGTACGACCGTCTTTCAGAGGGATATGCTACAGTTTATATAATCAAATATCGATTCTTGGCGTCCGTGTATCGATACAATATCGCCACGCAAAGTATCGCGATACTATACTGTATCGATTATTTCCCCCACCCCTAATATTTAATAATTTCCTTGATTTCTGATCAGTTTTTCCTCTTTGTGTCCGCAGGGTTGTGGATAACGACGGCACTCTGCAGCTGAAGAGGAGCTTCCCGATCCAGCACGGCTCGCAGCACGTCCACAGCATCTTCTGCCCCCTCATGTCCTTCAGACAGGGGGCCTGCGTGGGTAAGAAGACCCTCTGAGCTCCAGATGTGATATAAGTATAAGACATTTACACCACAGCTTGTTATACGCTGCAGGAGGAGAAGATATGCAAAAAGGAAAACCCTTAAAACCATAATTTAAGATAAGTTAAGAGGCACTTTATTGATCCCAAATTAGGAAATGTTTGCATTGCTGCAGCATAAAAAACAACAAAACAAGAAAAACTAGAAATGAACAATACTAGAATTTAAACATCTCAAAATAGAAGTAAACAAACATTTAAGCAATTAAATATGTGTGTTTTTTAAGTGATTTTTACGACCTTTTGGGGCGGTTTTATCGGTTTTATCTACATAATACATGAAAGTAACACATGTGTCTCTTCCGGGCAAAAGTACGGCTCCGCCCACTTTTGGGGGAAAACAAAGCTGTCATTTGAACGGCGGTCAATACAAATTCTGACGTTTTTGCCAATCCGATCAGAAATGTAAGAAAACCGTGGATTTTCTGATCTTCAAAGAGCCCGACGGCCAGACAGGCAAACAATTACATTAAATCATTGGAAATCGACGATTGGGCTCGATATATGGTTAAATATAGCAGTAGGCGATCGATGTCCATAGATGAGAGTAACATCTACGGCACTTTACGGCCCCGCCCACTTTTGGGGGAAACCATCGCTGTCATTTGAACGGCGATCGAGCCTGAAGCCACAGAGCTCTTCCTTTACTGTCCTTTCTTCTTAGAGGAAGTACAGAAACACTGAACTCTGGATTTGTTTTAATGTTTGAGGTGCAATAAACGACACAGCAGCTTGTTGGCATGATAACACAATTATTTTCCGCCTCGCTCATGAGAGTAACAGCTGGAGAGATTACGGCCTCGCCTACTGATTTTAATTTAACCATATATTGAGCCCGATCGTCGATTTCAAATTATTTAATGTAATTGCCTGACTGGTCATCGTAACCGGGCTCTTTGAAGATCAGAAAATCCACGGTTTTCAAACATTTCTGATCGGATTGCCAAAAACTTCAGAATATGTATTGACCGCCATGTTGTTTTCCCCCAAAAGTGGGCGGGGCCGTAATATTCGTCCGGAAGTGACGTAGGTGTCACTCTCATCTATAGTCTAGTTGCCAGCAGTGTAAACCCGGAATTGTTGAGTAATAATACAAATACATACGATTTTTATAGCGCTTTTCCTAATGCTCCAAGACACTTTACATAGAATCAGAGCAGAACAACAACAACAACAACAATAACAACAAAAAGTCCTAATTTAAGTGCGAAAGTAAAAAGTGTGGGTGGGTTGATGATAAGAAATTAAAAGCTAGAGTGAGGACCCCAAAGTTTTATGATAGAAATATATAGTAGGGTCCCCAGCACATAGAAACTGCCGGATGCTAACTTGTTAGTTACAATTAGCATCAGTTAGCATTATGCTAAAGTAGCAAAAAAAATATGGCCGCTTTCTGGTTAACCTGTACTGTACATTTCTAACATAAAACTTTGGGGTACTGAACCTTTCCTGGTTCACTTTATGAGCTGGCAAATAAACTATAAAGGGATTTTGAATTTCATTGTAGTATATTTTTAAGGTGATTACTCTTCTCTTGAGGTCTATGAATGAAGAGTCCTCATATTTTATGATGTAGTTTTCCCCAAACATCAAGGCGACATACTTTTTTCTGGTTATATAAATGTGATTCATGATGCAGTTAGAAAGCAGCTTAACGGTTTTGTTTAAACAGGTGTGTGTCTCCCTTTGTGTGCAGCAAACGGTGTTATTGACGGCAGTGACAGTGAGGTTTTATAACGGCTTAACTCACATATATGGTTTGAAGCAGAATATTCTGTTAGATAAAAGCCTCTTTTTTCCACAATAGTACTTAGCCACCACTGAAAATGAATTCTCCAAGTAATACAACACTTGTTATAAAAGTATAGCACAATTTGTGTCTGACATTTTGTACAAATGCCAACTAATATGAAAGACCAAGGAAAAAGCACTCTAATGTTAACAAAGCTGGATAATTGTTCCTAGAGTTTAATCTTTTGTTTGCATGAGTCATATTCCACCCGACTCGACTTTCCTCACCTGTTGATTATTTCTAACAATCAACAGTTCATTCTGCAGTCGAGTCTCTCAGTGTTTAAATTATCAGCTTTATGGCGCCAGTCAACAGACACTCGTTAAAAATATAAAAACACTCAAGAGTCTTCAGTTAGCGATGTGTCGTTATTTCATTCTTACAAAAGAAACTGAGGTCTTACAACATAAAACAACACATTCATAAAAAAAAGGGCACAAAGAGACACCCGAGGAATGAATAGAAATGAAATGGTCGATTGTAAAAACAACAATGCTGTCTATTGAAAAAGATTTACGGTCTTGAGAGTCCTCAGAAATTGCCTCATTTCTTAAAATAAATTATATTATTTTGTGTTAACTGTTAACTATCAAGAGGAACAAAGCACTTTTTCTTGCTTCATTTTGCATTATTTGCCGTCTCCCTTTTTTAGCCATTTGAACGTTGGGGACACTTGGAATCAAAGTGATAGAAAAACACAATAAACTTTTAAAAAGCCAGTTCATTTAGATAAATATATAGATAGATATATACTTTATTGGTCCCAATTTAACTTGAACAACCAATATATAGGTCTAACCCTAATATATATTTAGTGCTGTTGTATAGTACTGTTTAAACATAAAGGTTTTAGGACTTATTTTCATAAATAGGCTACGAATTGTCATTCAAATTGTTTTCAGTATGGCCACACAATACATTTGATATTTAATATATATCAATAAAGTCTTGAAAAGAACACTTTTAAAGGACACCTATCATGCAAAATGCACTTTTTTATGTCTTTTATACACAAACATGTGTCCCCGGTGTGTCAGGGAACTCACGCAGCGTCAGAAAATAAAACCCTCTCTCTTTTCCTCCGTACCCAAATCTCTAAAAACGGGGAACAACGAGCTGATCCAGATTTGCGTCCGAAATGACATAATATCTGAAATGTGGACCCACGGCCCAATCAGAAACGTTGCTATCAGAAACAATGCCCGACTGTTTTCAGTATGTAGTGTCTCTACTTTAAAGAGTCCTCTCCTGCTGATGTTCAGGTGTATATCAGTATGTAGTGTCTCTACTTTAAAGAGTCCTCTCCTGCTGATGTTCAGGTGTATATCAGTATGTAGTGTCTCTACTTTAAAGAGTCCTCTCCTGCTGATGTTCAGGTGTATATCAGTATATAGTGTCTCTACTTTAAAGAGTACTCTCCTGCTGATGTTCAGGTGTATATCAGTATGTAGTGTCTCTACTTTAAAGAGTACTCTCCTGCTGATGTTCAGGTGTATATCAGTATGTAGTGTCTCTACTTTAAAGAGTACTCTCCTGCTGATGTTCAGGTGTATATCAGTATGTAGTGTCTCTACTTTAAAGAGTCCTCTCCTGCTGATGTCCAGGTGTATATCAGTATGTAGTGTCTCTACTTTAAAGAGTCCTCTCCTGCTGATGTCCAGGTGTATATCAGTATGTAGTGTCTCTACTTTAAAGAGTCCTCTCCTGCTGATGTCCAGGTGTATATCAGTATGTAGTGTCTCTACTTTAAAGAGTACTCTCCTGCTGATGTTCAGGTGTATATCAGTATGTAGTGTCTCTACTTTAAAGAGTCCTCTCCTGCTGATGTTCAGGTCTATATCAGTATGTATATCAGTATGTAGTGTCTCTACTTTAAAGAGTCCTCTCCTGCTGATGTTCAGGTGTATATCAGTATGTAGTGTCTCTACTTTAAAGAGTCCTCTCCTGCTGATGTCCAGGTGTATATCAGTATGTAGTGTCTCTACTTTAAAGAGTCCTCTCCTGCTGATGTTCAGGTGTATATCAGTATGTAGTGTCTCTACTTTAAAGAGTCCTCTCCTGCTGATGTCCAGGTGTATATCAGTATGTAGTGTCTCTACTTTAAAGAGTCCTCTCCTGCTGATGTTCAGGTGTATATCAGTATGTAGTGTCTCTACTTTAAAGAGTCCTCTCCTGCTGATGTCCAGGTGTATATCAGTATGTAGTGTCTCTACTTTAAAGAGTCCTCTCCTGCTGATGTTCAGGTGTATATCAGTATGTAGTGTCTCTACTTTAAAGAGTCCTCTCCTGCTGATGTTCAGGTTGTATCAGTATGTAGTGTTCTCTACTTTAAAGAGTACTCTCCTGCTGATGTTCAGGTGTATATCAGTATGTAGCGTGCTACTTAAAGAGTCCTCTCCTGCTGATGTTCAGGTCTATATCAGTATGTAGTGTCTCTACTTTAAAGAGTCCTCTCCTGCTGATGTTCAGGTGTATATCAGTATGTAGTGTCTCTACTTTAAAAGAGTCCTCTCCTGCTGATGTTCAGGTGTATATCAGTATGTAAGTGTCTCTACTTTAAAGAGTCCTCTCCTGCTGATGTTCAGGTGTATATCAGTATATAGTGTCTCTACTTTAAAGAGTACTCTCCTGCTGATGTTCAGGTGTATATCAGTATGTAGTGTCTCTACTTTAAAGAGTACTCTCCTGCTGATGTTCAGGGTGTATATCAGTATGTAGTGTCTCTACTTAAAGAGTACTCTCCTGCTGATGTTCAGGTGTATATCAGTATGTAGTGTCTCTACTTTAAAGAGTCCTCTCCTGCTGATGTCCAGGTGTATATCAGTATGTAGTGTCTCTACTTTAAAGAGTCCTCTCCTGCTGATGTCCAGGTGTATATCAGTATGTAGTGTCTCTACTTTAAAGAGTCCTCTCCTGCTGATGTCCAGGTGTATATCAGTATGTAGTGTCTCTACTTTAAAGAGTCCTCTCCTGCTGATGTCCAGGTGTATATCAGTATGTAGTGTCTCTACTTTAAAGAGTACTCTCCTGCTGATGTTCAGGTGTATATCAGTATGTAGTGTCTCTACTTTAAAGAGTCCTCTCCTGCTGATGTTCAGGTCTATATCAGTATGTATATCAGTATGTAGTGTCTCTACTTTAAAGAGTCCTCTCCTGCTGATGTTCAGGTGTATATCAGTATGTAGTGTCTCTACTTTAAAGAGTCCTCTCCTGCTGATGTCCAGGTGTATATCAGTATGTAGTGTCTCTACTTTAAAGAGTCCTCTCCTGCTGATGTTCAGGTGTATATCAGTATGTAGTGTCTCTACTTTAAAGAGTCCTCTCCTGCTGATGTCCAGGTGTATATCAGTATGTAGTGTCTCTACTTTAAAGAGTCCTCTCCTGCTGATGTTCAGGTGTATATCAGTATGTAGTGTCTCTACTTTAAAGAGTCCTCTCCTGCTGATGTCCAGGTGTATATCAGTATGTAGTGTCTCTACTTTAAAGAGTCCTCTCCTGCTGATGTTCAGGTGTATATCAGTATGTAGTGTCTCTACTTTAAAGAGTCCTCTCCTGCTGATGTCCAGGTGTATATCAGTATGTAGTGTCTCTACTTTAAAGAGTCCTCTCCTGCTGATGTTCAGGTGTATATCAGTATGTAGTGTCCTCTACTTTAAAGAGTCCTCTCCTGCTGATGTTCAGGTGTATATCAGTATGTAGTGTCTCTACTTGAAAGAGTCCTCTCCTGCTGATGTTCAGGTGTATATCAGTATGTAGTGTCTCTACTTTAAAGAGTCCTCTCCTGCTGATGTTCAGGTGTATATCAGTATGTAGTGTCTCTACTTTAAAGAGTCCTCTCCTGCTGATGTTCAGGTGTATATCAGTATGTAGTGTCTCTACTTTAAAGAGTCCTCTCCTGCTGATGTTCAGGTGTATATCAGTATGTAGTGTCTCTACTTTAAAGAGTCCTCTCCTGCTGATGTTCAGGTGTATATCAGTATGTAGTGTCTCTACTTTAAAGAGTCCTCTCCTGCTGATGTTCAGGTGTATATCAGTATGTAGTGTCCCTACTTTAATGTTTCTAATATGTTTTATGCTCTTAATGTCTTTGCATTGCCCTTTGTTGAAAAGTGCTATAGAAATAAACTTGCCTTAACTTCTTAACTTTCTGATATCCCCCCCCTCACAGTGACCGGCAGCGAGGACGCCTGCGTTTACTTCTTCGACGTGGAGCGAAACACGAAGGCGATCGTGAACAAGCTGCAGGGTCACGGCGGCCCGGTGCTCGACGTCAGCTTCAACTGCGACGAGAGTCTGCTGGCGTCCGCCGACTCCACCGGCATGGTGATCATCTGGAGGCGCGAGCAGAAGTGACCGAACCCTCCTCCAACGAATGATACAAAAACACATAACAATTCTTCCATCCACTGCATACAGAACGACCCTGCCGCTCCTTAACCGTCCGATAACTAGTGTGTCCATTTTCCCTGGAATATGGAGAGTAGAGTGGTGCAGGGATGAAGTTAGCATTCTTGACAAATGCAATGGGATTTTACCATTTAATTCTTGAATTCTGCCAACAAATAAGCTCTGTGGCAAACATGTATGATACTGACATGTTTTGTAGGAATATTATTCACATATTTAACACCCCTTTGTGATTTTTAAAGCTTAAATGCAAACGTAAAAAGCTTACGTTAAGCTATGAAGGAACTACGTCACGGTCACATGACTTCACGTCACCACCGCTAAGCTAAAGGTGGCTAATGTTGGCCGTGATGACTAGTAGTCGTCTCATTTAGACACTTGTTAGCAACCGTCGTTTTTAAATTCACCAGTGGGATATTTACTGGCGTATTTTATGTTGCAAAGCTTGTGTTAACCATAGACCTTATTTCGGGCTAACAACCAGAAACACGCTCAAAAAACCATTCACTTCAAGACGTGCTAACCTTGTGCTAAATGCTAACTCATTCACTGGTTTAGGCCTCATTCCTGCACCACTCTATTAATGGATTAATGTAACGCCAAACTCAAGTGCAATCAGATAAACACCGTGCTGTGTAGGTGGTCTTATACATTAAAGCGATTGGGTTGTGTGTGTGTGTGTGTGTGTGTGTGTGTGTGTGTGTGTGTGTGTGTGTGTGTGTGTGTGTGTGTGTGTGTGTGTGTGTGTGTGTGTGTGTGTGTGTGTGTGTGTGTGTGTGTGTGTGTGTGTGTGTGTGTGTGTGTGTGTGGTGTGTGTGTGTGTGTGTGTGTGTGTGTGTGTGTGTTGTGTGTGTGTGTGTGTGTGTGTGTGTGTGTGTGTGTTGTGTGTGTGTGTGTGTGTGTGTGTGTGTGTGTGTGTGTGTGTGTGTGTGTGTGTGTGTGTGTCAGTCCTCCTACTCCTGCAGCTTTTCAACGCAGAAAGAGAGACTCCCATGCATGTGTCATGGCTGACCTCTGACTTGACGGATGCGACTGAATTCATGTGCAGAGGATGCATCGCAATCTTCCGGATAAAGACAGCAGCACTCTGTCTCACACTGACATAGATCTAGTTCACTATTTATGTAACTGTTGCTCCAGCAGTGTAATCAAGTGTAGTGAAAAAGGCCTTGTTTGCTTCCTGCAATTGCCTGCTTGCATTCGAGACCTTGTGCATGACATTGCAAATCAAATTGGTATCATCACACAAGACCAAGTGTGTTTTTAAGTATGTGTTTGTACTTATCTTTACGTGTGTGTATATTCAGTTAATGCAGATTAATATAATTTATTTAATGCACATACAGAATAAACTACTCTAACTGTCAGCTGTCTTTGTTTCCTTTTTTTCCACTTCAAATTTGACAATAGTCAAATCTCTTCAGCTTGTTAACCACAGACCTTATTTCAGGCTCACATCCAAAACACATTCAGTCAACCATTGACTTCAAGACAATGGAACAAGGGGTCAAATGCTGACACATTTCTGGGTTGTAGGACTCATTCCTGCTCCACTTTATGGAGTCTGGTTGCTTTGAGGAGAGCACATAAAGTGACGGTGATATATACACTTTATAATTAATATTTAAGAAGGTATCATTGCAATCTGCATTATTTCAAACTGTTTCAGGTCACTAGGAAAACCATTGTCAGTTCCTTAGTTCCTGTTTTGTATCTATTCTTAAATTATTTATTTATTTTAATTTACAAGATTTGAGTTGAATTTCAATTTTCTTTTGAACCTACTTTTTTCCTTTATAACGCATTTATTTATTTTGATAACATTTGTCTCTTTCCCTTTCAGCCTGATTTGTGAAGCACTTATATGGAAAAGTAATTTATAATTGTTCTTTAATTAGTATTATTGCTATTATTAATTATTTTAGTGTTTGAGAAAGACAAACAATTTATAAAAAATGTGGAAATTGTGGAAAGCAGTAATTATTATTTATCATTATATTTAAAATAATAATTGTAATGCTTGATAAAAACAAACAAGTTACCTTAAAATGTGGAAATTATGAAAAACAGTCAGTATTTTCTCGTTCTGAACATTATGTATGATGAATGCAGCTCATCCGACTACTGTCTCCTCAAAGTTGCAGAGGGTATTGCTACTGTACTTACTCAGAGTAAGCTCTGACCCGTGTTTAGTTCATAAGATGTCAAATGTGTTCTAATTCTTCCAATTGTCTTCGTTGATTTGAAATATGAGTGCATGAGTAAGAAATAACAAATCATTTGAGTGAGGACAGTACGGTGGCCGACAGGTGAAAACGTCAACCGTTTACAACGCTTTTAGTAATGAAAAATAAAAGTGAAATTGCCTATTGCATCGTTTCTCTTAAAAGAAAAAAAGAAAGTTTGGGGCTCTCTGCTGGAACTGCTACCCCCGCGACCCGACCACGGATAAGCGGGAGAAGATGGATGGATGGATGGATCGTTTCTCTTAAAGGTAGGATACGTAATTTTGGAGAAAGCAGCTCGAGTGCGCTAGAATTTGAAAATACACAACTTGAAGAAATCTGCCACTTCCTTACAGAGCCCCTCCTCCAACACACACGAAAACGCACATGACCAATGAGGGCATGAGATAAGTTTGTGCACAGATGGAAGGCTGACAGGCAGGTAGGCCATCCAGTTACTTTAGCCGGCTCAGATGATTGGTCGAGCTTTTTACAGCGCCACGGCTTCCACAGATGAAATATTTTGTATGTATTTATTGTCAAAGCATTTAATATATTCATTGCTATCGGATGTTAAGAGCATTCCATGGAATATAACAAGTGTTTCTGAAATAAATTACATACCCCACCTTTAATGGAAGTTGTTGGGCTGTTACAGCACATTTACACCTGTAGGCCACCGTAGCAAAGTTTCATTTCATGCAGATTTGCCTCAAATCTAACTTGAATACAAACAAGAAGTAATAATCCAGCCATGTCCATATATGGGCAGCTCATATGTCATAATGCATCAAAAGTAGAGTCTTTATTGATGAGTGGGCAAAAGAACCACCTCAGTTAAACTGTACAGTTACAGAATATCATCTCGCGAAGGAATGCCAGACGTAAAAAGTTTGAACCTCGGTTTTTGCTTCACTTTTTCCTCCCACTTATATCAACATCTGTACAAGTTGTAACCCCCAAGTCTTGAATATGAAATGCAGTGGAATGCATGCTAATACAGTATGCTGTGCAAGTGTCCACATTTAGAAAAATTGACTGCACAAACATATCTATGCCTAACATCCTGTAGGTCTGACATTTGTATTACATGAATCTTACATTTCAGACAACTTCATGTAGTCGGTTTTCCACACAACAAACTTCTCTGTGGTCGTATCCAGCCTTTTAACATTTTAAAATCCAGGACATTGTGACATTTATGTTGTCTGGGGGGCCTTATAACATTCAGGTTCCCTTTAAGGGCCACTTCATTCCTTTTTGTCAGCATAACAGTAAAACATTCCCAAGATCATCATTTGCTAATTTTGTTACATTTACATCATAATTCAAGTAATTAAATCCTCCGGCCTGTTTGTGATGCACAAGTGTTGTTATGTAATTATTCATAATCCCTCATACTTCACATTTGCTTGAAAAAAAATCAGAATACATTTGACGGAAATCCATTTAAAGGATACATTTCCGTATAAATATTGTTCAATTTTTGCATGGTTTTGAGACACCAAGACGAGGCTGCTTTTCATATTGACTCAATATTACTGGAACCTATTCTATCATCAATATATCCCCTCCTCTCTTCTCTCACACACACACACACACACACACACACACACACACACACACACACACACACACACACACACACACACACACACACACACACACACACACACACACACACGCCAAACACACACACATACACACAAATGCTATATAAAAACACACAAGCAGGAATAGACATTCCCGTACAGTCTGTACAATATGAAATCAAGTCATATTTCAAAATAGTGTCATCTGCTTAACATGTATAGTTTACAAATAAAAGGAAAAACAGGCAATTATTTTTTTTATGATACAAATAAAACCTGACACGCCCTAAATCAAGTCCAAAAAAATCAAGCATGTTAGGGGCTCTTCGGGTTCACGACACCTATTGAAATGCATCCAAGGTTATTGGGTCCATTTCGATATTCTGCAGTCTCCTCTGAATTACATGAAAAGGCGTCCGGGGTGGTCTATTAATCCGTTCAGACCCCTTTGAGTTCCTTGATGTGTTTCAGAGTTAGTAACGCTCTGATCAACACTTTCTATTCAAAAGTCTGCAGCACATTTTATTGAAGGATTGTTCATCCCTATGTGTGTCTGTTTTGTGCCTCGTGTGACACAAACTCATGAAAGCTCTGGGGCGTGTCCCACTGAAATAAGGCAACATTATTTTAAAATGGCATCTGTCACACTTAGTTGGAGCGGTGATAGTTGTGATCTTTTCCTACTGATTAATCAAACAGTACATCATCAGAAACTGAAGAAGGGCTTTGTCATTATCGCCCCCCTAAAGTCAAACCTCTGCACCATTTATTCAAACATTCTTAATAACGTGCCTGCAATCGTTGGCAAAAATCGGGTTTCGTTGTGCAAAACAGACACTTAGCCAAGGTGCGTTACATCACTTCAAATCCTCGCTTTTAAAAAAGAAAACCTGAAACATTCTCTTGTGTGTATCGGATCACATGATGCAGTAGGCCTCGTCCTGGGGCAGGTGTTGTTTAGTCCTCCAGTAGGTGGGCAGGTGAGCCCTCAGCACTTTCCTCAGGTCCTCGTTGAGCAGGAGGCAGAAGATGGGGTTGACTCCGGCCTGGGCGAAGCTCATCCACACCGTGATGGAGAGGTACCGCTGGGGGATGGTGCAGGACTTCACGAACACCCTCCAGAAGCAGGCCACGATGTAGGGCGCCCAGAGGACCAGGAAGAGCAGGGTGATGGTGTAGAACATCCTGCCCAGTCTCCTCTCCGACCGAACCTCCTCCATCCCCAGCAGACGCCGATGCTGATTGTGTAGATTCTGACGGATGCCCAGCAGAGTCGGAGGCATGGGGCCGCGACCGAACCCTGCGATCCAGTTGGCCGCGGCTTGCCCTGTCGCCCCGGGACCGTGGAAGGTCCAGTTCTGGCTGATGGCTGGCACCAGTTGGACCGGTTTCATCTTGCGGTGCCGGTACTCAAACAGCAGCAGCTTGGCGTAGAAGCCGTGGGTCGCCAGCACCACGACGGCCAGCATGAGCATGAAGCCCAGGGTGTCGTTGGTCTTCAGGTAGCGGTGTTCGAAGATGCACTGGTCCTCGTCGCGGATGAACTTGTACGTCCCCACGTCGAACACCGGCGGGAACGCCATGGCCACGGCCAGAGTCCACACCATGGAGATGATGGCGGTGCACGTCCAGATGGTCATTCGCTTGGCGTAGAATCGGTGGTGGGCGATGGCAAGGTAGCGTGTGACGGCGACGCAAAACAGCATGAAGGCAGCGTGAAAACAAAACAGCACCGCCATGAACGCCACAATCTTACAACTCAAGGCGCTGTAGGTCCAGGCCGAGCTGTTGTGCACAGACACGAGCACGAAGGGGAAGCAGGCGGCCGAGCGGACGGCGTCGGCCAGGCACAGGTCCAGCAGGAAGAAGTAGGGCGCCTTGTGAAGGGTCCGGTCTCTCAGCACGAGCAGGGAGACCAGGAGGTTCCCCACCAGGCTGACACAGATGATCAGACCCAAGAAGACCAGCTTAAAGTAGGCGGACACATCTGTGGCAGAGATTCCTCCAGTGCTGCCTCCACCACTGCTGCTGCTTCCTCCCCTCGACATGCCGCTCTGAGAAGCCAGAACCGCCAGCAAACTGCCCGGTCCATCGATGGCGAAGCTCTGGTTAGCCATTGTTTCACCTTCCGTTCGGGGGGGCCTTTTTTGTATTTGTATAAACGCTACAAACCCCCTCTCCACACGGCTCCCTCGTCTCTACAAGGAGAGGCCGTGAGGATCTTTTCTACATGACAGACTCATCTTTTTCCTCTTTGTCCACAACCTCGCCACCTGCGAACACAGACACACACATTTTGAGGCATGGAAAAAAAACAAGATGTGTGCTTGTTAAACGGAAACTTACATTAAGCAGCGTGCATATATTGAAGTGCTGTGTTGGGCAACACTGTGGAAATCTTTGCCTTCCTGTTTCTCCGCGGCTGGGATCAGATCAGCAGCTCTACAGCATGCCAGCTCCTTGGCTCTCTCAGTAATTACCTTGCCCGTTGCTAAGATACAACAGCTCACATAGTTTGTGCAAGTGTGGGTGTTTGAGTGAATGCATGGGGGTGTACGAGGGGAGGGGGGGGGGATGGAGCAGACAAACAACACTGGGCATGTCCAACAAACAGAGATGTTGTAAATCAGCAAAGAACACTCCTTGTGTGCGTGCGTGTGTGTGTGCGTGTGTGTGAGAGAGAGGCAGGAGGGTGTACCATTCACAGCACATAACAAAAACGGCAGAGCAGGCGTTGTTTTTCTATAACCCTATAGGCCTACTGTGTGAAATGTGAGTCAACAGGAGAAAGTTGACATCGTGATTAGCACAGACAAGGCCTCAGCAAGGGGCCAAGATTAAGAATTCATTGAAAACACAAAATGCAGCTTCATGTAATAAAAAACTCATCTACAGGCGTAGAAATGATGATAAACCGTGGTGTGCTTGTCTGGGTGGGCCTTGTCTATGTAGGCCATGAAAAACAATATGATGTTCTGAAACTGAGGGCTTATTTTTCTCCCCATACATAACAGCCCTCTGCCACCTTGACAAATATCATTTCACCTGATTAGATGTCAGCTAGGCCTGACAGAGTGAACAACAGATGAACAGGTGTCAAAATCACCTCTGATATGTGTGTGCGTGTGTGTGTGTGTGTGTGTGTGTGTGTGTGTGTGTGTGTGCGTGCGTGCGTGTGTGAGATCAAGATGATAACCTACCTTTCATCCCCTCATCTTTTTTGGATCGGCTCTTCTCTCAAGGCAAAAAAACTAAAAAAGGATCCCAGTCGCTTTGTCTCACTGCTTGTTAAATCGAGAGAAAAGCACATAATAAGCACATGCTCCCGCTGTGCTCTCAAACAACACCTGTTAAGCATTAATCCATCGCGAATCGAGCAACATATAATAATCTTATAATAAAGATAATACTAAAAAAAATCAACAGCTGATCAGACAATCCGGGGTGAGGACTGTGCCACAGAAAAACATCCAGCACCGCCACCCTTTCTCAGTCACAGGGATGTGTTCATTTGTGTCTGAATATCATCCGAGAAAACAGCTTTCTATGTTGCATCACGTCGAAGGTGGATTTCCAGAAGGCTTAGAAACAGACGCGATTTAGAAAAAACAACATACCTTGTTGTGTTCACATATATCCAAATGATGTCAGATTTTCAATGCTTATAATAACCCACCCACAAACGTTGGAGAGGAGGAAGAAAATATCGCGCATCCCATAAATGAATGGTCTTGGCATGTATATTGGCTGGTGGTGCAATTAGTCCACACAGAAAACTGCCTCCAAACGTCACTATTTCCCATCTTTCAGTCAAAAAGAAAAAGGTATTTACCCCGAACTGTTCAGTCTTTGTTTTTCCAGCGACATTTTATTATAGTCCACAATAAAAAAAAATGCAGCCTCCGTGATACATGTCTGACAAATCCAGATTCACGTCGCCATAACGCTGTGGAAATCACGATTTGACAAGGAAAAGAAAAACAAGGCGACTGGATTAGGCGAATTATTCCTGAATAATCCCAATTATGGCTGCTTGCAAGGAGGCAGCTCGCACGTTCTCGGAAACACTCGGTTTTATTCGGATAGGGAGAGAGAGGGCGGGAGAGAGGGCGGGAGAGAGAGAGAGCTGTGCAGTATTATCGTGAGCCACAATAACATGAAAGTGATGTTTTATTCTCACCGTCTCATCATGTATGTCTGCTCTCAGCTGTAAGCAGTCTCAAGCTGCTGCATGGAATTCTGGGTCATGGAGGAGGAAACTGGGCCTCCTTTTTTCAGGTTTTGTTAAACAATAACACCTGATTAACATTGGAACCTCATCAAATATATAGAAAACCTTTCATTATGCTTTATGTGTTCGCAACCTCCAGATCTGAACATTTAAAGAGGACGTATTCCTCTCATGTTCAGGTGTATATCAGTATGTAGTGTCTCTACTTTAAAGAGTCCTCTCCTGCTGATGATCAGGTGTATATCAGTATGTAGTGTATCTACTTTAAAGAGTCCTCTCCTGCTGATGTTCAGGTGTACATCAGTATGTAGTGTATCTACTTTAAAGAGTCCTCTCCTGCTGATGTTCAGGTGTATATCAGTATGTAGTGTATCTACTTTAAAGAGTCCTCTCCTGCTGATGTTCAGGTGTATATCAGTATGTAGTGTCTCTACTTTAAAGAGTCCTCTCCTGCTGATGTTCAGGTGTATATCAGTATGTAGTGTCTCTACTTTAAAGAGTCCTCTCCTGCTGATGTTCAGGTGTATATCAGTATGTAGTGTCTCTACTTTAAAGAGTCCTCTCCTGCTGATGTTCAGGTGTATATCAGTATTTAGTGTCTCTACTTTAAAGAGTCCTCTCCTGCTGATGTTCAGGTGTATATCAGTATGTAGTGTCTCTACTTTAAAGAGTCCTCTCCTGCTGATGTTCAGGTGTATATCAGTATGTAGTGTCCTCTACTTTAAAGAGTCCTCTCCTGCTGATGTTCAGGTGTATATCAGTATGTAGTGTCTCTACTTTAAAGAGTCCTCTCCTGCTGATGTTCAGGTGTATATCAGTATGTAGTGTCTCTACTTTAAAGAGTCCTCTCCTGCTGATGTTCAGGTGTATATCAGTATGTAGTGTCTCTACTTTAAAGAGTCCTCTCCTGCTGATGTTCAGGTGTATATCAGTATGTAGGGTCTCTACTTTAAAGAGTCCTCTCCTGCTGATGTTCAGGTGTATCAGTATGTAGGGTCTCTACTTTAAAGAGTCCTCTCCTGCTGATGTTCAGGTGTATATCAGTATGTAGTGTCTCTACTTTAAAGAGTCCTCTCCTGCTGATGTTCAGGTTTATATCAGTATGTAGTGTCTCTACTTTAAAGAGTCCTCTCCTGCTGATGTTCAGGTGTATATCACTATGTAGTGTCTCTATTTTAAAGAGTCCTCTCCTGCTGATGTTCAGGTGTATATCAGTATGTAGTGTCTCTACTTTAAAGAGTCCTCTCCTGCTGATGTTCAGGTGTATATCAGTATGTAGTGTCTCTACTTTAAAGAGTCCTCTCCTGCTGATGTTCAGGTGTATATCAGTATATAGTGTCTCTACTTTAAAGAGTCCTCTCCTGCTGATGTTCAGGTGTATATCAGTATGTAGTGTCTCTACTTTGTCCTCTCCTGCTGATGTTCAGGTGTATATCAGTATGTAGTGTCTCTATTTTAAAGAGTCCTCTCCTGCTGATGTTCAGGTGTATATCAGTATGTAGTGTCTCTACTTTAAAGAGTTCTCTCCTGCTGATGTTCAGGTGTATATCAGTATGTAGTGTCTCTACTTTAAAGAGTCCTCTCCTGCTGATGTTCAGGTGTATATCAGTATGTAGTGTCTCTACTTTAAAGAGTCCTCTCCTGCTGATGTTCAGGTGTATATCAGTATGTAGTGTCTCTACTTTAAAGAGTCCTCTCCTGCTGATGTTCAGGTGTATATCAGTATGTAGTGTCTCTACTTTAAAGAGTCCTCTCCTGCTGATGTTCAGGTGTATATCAGTATGTAGTGTCTCTACTTTAAAGAGTCCTCTCCTGCTGATGTTCAGGTGTATATCAGTAGGTAGTGTCTCTACTTTAAAGAGTCCTCTCCTGCTGATGTTCAGGTGTATATCAGTATGTAGTGTCTCTACTTTAAAGAGTCCTCTCCTGCTGATGTTCAGGTGTATATCACTATGTAGTGTCTCTACTTTAAAGAGTCCTCTCCTGCTGATGTTCAGGTGTATATCAGTATGTAGTGTCTCTACTTTAAAGAGTCCTCTCCTGCTGATGTTCAGGTGTATATCACTATGTAGTGTCTCTACTGTGACATGTCTCCATGCTTTAATGTTCAAAATGCTATGCAGCACCTCTTTTCACCCTCTGTCTGAAACCAGAGCCCAGTCTGCTCTGGCCGGCTCTGTTGTGGTTGGTCAACCGCTTAGAGATGTCCCACCCCTTAGCAAAACATGTGCAATGTGTTGGAGCGCCACCGCTTCCTAGTAGCACGAGTGTTACATGTCACCGATGTAAACAAAGGAGTCAAATGGAGGTGTTTCAGGGGTGTGTGGGGGGGGGGGGGGGACTCCCTCTAGAGCAGTGGTTCTCAAACTTTTTCTGGCATTCCCCGCTTTGAACAGGTGGGCCTTTTCAAGCCCCACCTGTTCCTCGCCGCTCCAATGAAATGGTAAGCCAAGCTTGAAATGGTCAAATGTATCGTTCTATAACAGGGGTCTCCAACCTTTTTTAGGATGAGAGCTACTTTCAAAAAAATAAAACAAGTCGTGAGCTACTTTTACTCCTCTTTTTCAGTTTTTTTGCAGTGTATATATTTAGCACATTTTAACATTATTATATGCTTACCTTTAACCTTTGTGTGCTGTTTGGGTCTGTGGGACCCGTTTTCAGTGAAAAGAAAATGTATGATTTTTTTAAATGTTGAAGTTAAATGCATCAATCTGGTGCACTTTGAGCACAAAATGAATTTATGGATACATCTCTCAACACTCTATGAAAGGGAGCTGTATACTTTTCAATAATCCAAACATCTTTAGAATATGATCACAACCAATAACAAATCATTTAAACTTGTGTATTCTTATCTTGTGTTACCTAGTTAGCATTCTTTCTTTGTATTTATGCATTACTAATCACAGCCCCTTTTAAACTGTTTACTGTCCTATAGTAGGCTACACATTGGAATGATGTCTTACTTTATTTTGTACAACTAGGCTATATTAAATAGATAAAGGTGTGTTTTCTCTCTCTGTCTCTGTGTCTCGCTCGCTCACAGAGGCTGTGCTCCTCCGTGGCGATGATGGCTTGCGTTAAAAGATAATAATAAACATAGGCCTATTTGTAAAATGGGACACAAACGGGATTTCGAAAAGTGTCACGGTTAAACTCCTTATGAAGTGGTGAGGTGCCGCTCCACATTGCTTTTCTTCCCGACTGCAACGCTGTTGTGTCTGTGTGTGAGAGCGTTTCACATGTGTGTATGAGAGATTTTTACATATGTCTGCAAATGACTTTGGCTTCAGTTGTGTGTGTGTGAGCAGGCTCGGATTGGCCATCAGGAGATTCGGGACTTTTCCAGTTGGGCCGCTGCCGTTGGTGGGCCGTTGGCTCTGGCATAGGTGGGCCGTGGACTTTCACAGCGCCGGTACCGCATCCGCCGCCGCAAACACCCGCCGTTGCAAGGCTCTGGCGGCTCCGGCAGGTCCGGTGCAGCGGTGCTGTGAAAGTCCACCGCCGTTGCGAGTCTCCGGCTGTAATAATCCACTACCGCCCGCGAGGACCCAGGTCAATACAAAAAAAATAGTCTCCCGTTAATCGCGTCCATTCGCGACCCACCTATCACATCTCTGCAACACTTTGAGAAACGCCGCTCTAGAGGAAACACAGGGATTTTAGCCTTTGCAGACCATTTAGCTACGTGCACAAAAACCTATATAAATCACTACGAGCAAGAGAAACCCCATACAACGGTATAATAGGGCCTCTTTAAGCCAATGGGGAAGTGCCTTAAATGTGTCATATTTCTAATGGCCAGCAGGGGGTGACTCCACTAATTCAAAAAGAAGTCTGATTATATAGAAGTCTATGAGTAAATAACCCTACTTCTCAATTGATTTATTACCTCTGTAAACATTTACCTGATGAGTTGATGGTCTCAATCCATAGTTTATAGTCTTCTTCAATGCACGGGTGAAGTGTGTTGGGGACAAAGATGTCTGCTCTTTAAGCTGATTTTCACTGACCAGATGGCCTGAGTGAGAGAGCAGCAGCCCTACATTGGGTGGGGTAGGTACATTTGAGAAACCGGCTCGAGATACACTTGTTGTTATATTCCATGGAATGCTCTTAACATACAGATAGCAATGAATATCTTAAGTGCTTTGACAACAAATCCATAAAAAATGTCATCTGTGGAAGCCGTGGCGCTGTAAAAAGCTCGACCAATCATTGTAGCCGGCCCGGCTAAAGTAACTGGATGGCCTACCTGCCTGTCAGCCTTCCATCTGTGCACAAACTTATCTCGTGCCCTCATTGGTCATGTGCGCGTTCATGTGTGTTGGAGGAGGGGCTCTGTGAGGAAGTCTGAAGGAAGGGGCAGATTTTTTTTTTTCCGGCTGCGTATTTTCAAATTCTAGCGCACTCGAGCTGGTTTCTCCAAAATTACCTACCCCACCTTTAAGTATTGGTTTAAAATGACATGTTTTCAAAGCCTTTTTCAGCATTTTTAAAAGATCGTTTTAACTTGTTGAACTTCAAAATGTGTAGATTCTCCGGTCTTGAGGAATGTAATGAACGGCACTCAATTTTAACGCAGACAAACACCAATATACCATTATTATTTTTTGTTCAATTACATGTTGAAGGAGGGGTGTTATTTTTCTCTTTCTGTCAAATATGTTATTTAGGTAAAAGCTGTTTCTTGTGATGGAAACTCTCCATTGGAACAGATTAAATCAGCCCTCAGTAATATCACACAATGAGAAAAGAGCAGGAAAATACCGTGTTAAACAGCTATTTGCTAGTAATGTCACAACACATACTGAACCTTTATTTCAAATAACAGATTAACACAGCTTTCAGTGGAATATCTCTTGAAAAGGCATTCATGATTTCAAAGCAAATCTCTGTTGTAGAATCGCACTGATTATCCTTCTTGGGTCAGGTTTAAGTCTGCTTACATATATGTAATACATTCCACAGTCGAGCTATGTGACCATCACACAAATTAATCACTCCCGCCCTTTTCCCTGCACAAGTCTAAGAAGTGCAAGTGTGCTCTGATTAATAATTTGGTTTATAGACCAAATACATAATCCACATCATCCAAAGGATACCTGACATCCAAGGACGTATGTGGCTTTGAAGTTAACACGGATTGATTTAGCAGGAAAACACTGAGGTCGTTTTTAACACCTCAAGGCTCCCAAAATAAAGATGATGTCTTATTAGCGTGTGACTATAATCAGAATGAGTGTGTCACGACTCATCACGAAGCACCTGACCTGAGGAGGTTTCCTGAGAGCTTTGCAACACTGAGCTCGGTTTACAATGGCCTGTGTGCTCTCTAGCGTGACACCGTGACTCCAGTGCAATGCGTGACCTTTGGCTTCTTTCTGCAGCTCATGTTGCCGTTCTGTTTATGTCCACTTCAAGCAAAGCTGAGCGCGCTCCGGGGACCGAAGGCACTAAAGGCTCTGCGTTATTTTGGTGTCAGTCTTTCACCACTGCAGTGTCATTGCTGTGCATGCAACTGTCATGCACACTTTAATTATAGAGTATGTGGATGAAAGGATAAAGGAATAAACAAAGACGCATAGTTGACAGGATATAGAACCACGTTTAATGGCAATACTCTGCAAAAACTTTCATCACTTCAAACGTCATTCAGTGCCTCAGACTGTGAGGTTGTCAAAGTAGTGCTGTAATATTTCAATATATTTCTGTAACAACAACAACAACAACAATATGGGATAGATAGCAAGTAGGTGGGAAGATAAGATACAGCATAGTATCGCTATGTGATTTTTAAACATGGTCGCCATGTACTAGTCTGTTGCTATATAAATAATTAATATAGAAAATAGAATAGTTTGGTAACAATTGCTTTTTTAAAGTCCACTAGAAAGTGCGTAAAGTGTTTTCACGGTATTGGCTTGAAATGAGTCAAAACAAAGATGGAGACTTCGGCGAGTAAGAATCTAAAATGTGCAAAAATCAATCTCAGATTATGACAAACTGCAAAAATGTGCAGTTGAAAAAGGTAATACATCGCAATCTACTGATCTGATTTGTTATCACAATACTCATATATATCTTTTAGTATTGTGATAATATTGTGTTTTTGCTTTTCTTGGGATTCCCACCCCTACTTGCTCGATCCAAGAGGAAGACTCATCAAACAAAATGTGCATTTGTGATCGTTTACTAATGATACAAAAATATCACTTTCACATGTGACACGAAACAAGATTCCACATTGTCCCTCTGGCAGCATTCATTTCAAACAGATGTTCACTGCAGGTCAGTTTGATTTAGGCATTAAGGCAAAACATAATTCACATAACCAGATTTTTTGAATTTGTAAACAAAATAACATTTTGTAAAACAAATGTCTTCAGCTTCCCACTGCAGTGAGATTTGTTGTCCTTCATTAAAAACAAAACAACACATGGAATTCACAAAAGTTATCATGGCAGTCGGGTTAGACAACAACCTAAGCTACGCTAACAACAACAAAGAAGAAGAAACAAGTGCATTACAGGACAGATGAATGAATCCATATATAACGCTACATTAACTACAGACACATTACAAAACACCTAGGTAATATAATGTGCTTTAGTGTTAGGGCGCGTTCAGGGAAGTCTCCTAGCCGCTGTTCCGCTTATATTCTGTAGGCTAACCAGTGTAGCATTAAAGCATGGGGGAATTAGCGGCCGAGCTAGCTAACTAGCCAGTTGCTGAATGAGTAAAGTTTAACAACTTCATTATTAATTCACACTCTTTCGTTGCACATCATTTGCCTCTCATCTGGCTTATTGTCTGTAACCAGACATTTTTGAAATAGAAAGCTAGCTAACTAACTAGCCATCCGCTAAGTAATTAAAGCGCCAACATTTAACAACTTAATACTTCATCGACAAACTTTTCACAGCACAGCAAAGCACCATGCCATAGCCAATTGTGAAGCCACTTTGTTAGGATACTTGTTCAAGTTTCAAGTGTTGCATTAGAGCAAGGTAGAATGAGCTGTTTAGCTAGCTAACTAGCCAGCCGCTAAATTAGTAATATTTTACAATTTATTGCTAAATCGACAAAAAGGAGAGAACCTCATACGCGACGAGGAGCCAACTTTATAACCAATAATTGAACAACATTTCTATCAAGACTTGTTTACATTTTCTGGCTTTTTGAGATTTCCTTTTGTACCGACCTTTAGGAGTGAAACAGACTGTATAAAGGTGTGAACGCGCCCTTAGTGTTGCAGAAATGGGGTTATAATTGATTTCTATTCGATTACTTACCACTTGTTTCACGGAAATATCACCAAAAGTATGACCGATATTTGTGTAAATACTTCCTCCTTGTATTATACTTTGGAAACACTGAAGAAACACTCACACAATGATACACAACAACTTCAACGACAGACTTATGTGTGATTTCTTTTTACTTATTGGCTTTTGTGGAATCACGAAAAGGCACTTTAACGTGAGAACGAACTTTGGGGGCATAATTAAAACTGATACAGGACCAGAAGCAGCCCGATGATGAACAGGGCGGTGGGTTCCTGCAACACTATGGAGAGCGAGACAACTCCACTCAGAAAGATGACGGACGGCATCAGATTTATGTTAGCGTCATGCTCAGTATGAAGTTTGGGAACCTCTGTGTTTGGTGGATTCTCTAGTAATGCGTCAGGGGAAGTCTCGGGAGCATCTTCCATCTCTTCCCAGGTCGACTGAAAAGCCTCTGAGAGTTCAGGCGATGGTGGATCCTCACCGTCTGCTTCTCTCAGAGATTCGTCACTTTCTGCCTCAGGAGACACGATTTCGGTCATACTGCCTTTGTGATGTTCTGCAGATCTGGTGTAACCCCCTGCAGAAAGTTCACTAATTCCCACTGCAACCTCCTGCTGGGTCGCACTGGGAGCTGAGACACATTCTGGAGGCAGTTCAAGACAAGGACGGCTGTTGGTTGACTCGTCCTCTCCTGGTGCTTCCCACAGATTCATCTCCACGCATGAGGCCTCAGAGGGAGAGGAAGCCTGGGAGCTGTGTGATCTCGGACTTGACTCTTGTTTCGCAGAGGGATTTGAATCAGGCAGTAGTGCGCAGGGACCTCCGTCTATTGGCTGCTCTGACGTTTGGTTGCCTAATTCTAATTCACAGTGGAGTCTGGGTAAAGGCTGTGACTTATTTGGCTGGAGTATAAAGGATGAATTAGTTTGAAGTGTGGTTTCGGAAGACATACACGGGAATAGTTCACCTGGGGATACAGTGATAGCGGACAGTGAGCCATCAGCAGATGGAAGCTCTTGGGTGGGTGGGACACCGGGAGCAGATGGGTGAACCGCAATCTGTTAAAGTAAAACAGCGAGACAACAGTGACAGCTATAAAGACAAAGGGGAGAGATTTGTATTCCACATTAACATTGCACACAGAGAGAGGAAAAGCATTTTACTGCATACTAATGCTTTTCTGTCAAATGGATCCCATGCTGGCGACTTAATGGTGAGGCATTGCAAACAAAACAGGCGCAGTGGGATGGGATTGGATGCATGTCTTTGCTTTTTATTATTGTTTTGACTTCTTGTTAAAAGGGAAGTTGACAAGGAAATCATGACCTGGCTACTCAAGACAATTCGGAGACGTTGCTGTGTGTCATTTCATGGTAAAACTAATTTCCTTCCAGCAGAAGTAAGATGTATTATTGCAGAGAGGCTCGAGTCAGCGGGAGCTCTAAGCAATAATGGCTCTTCTTTCTGCCCGGTGATACATTTGGCGGATGAAGTTTAGAGAGGAAATAGTTCCGAAGTAAAACTACTCAAAACTAAGTGATTGGATTGCAGTGTTTCCCACAGAATTTGATTCTATTTGTGGGGGCACTGCACCGCACCCACCCTCCCCCCCCCCCCCCCCCCGGCAAGAAAAGCCAAAGGCCCCTTAACCTATTCGGGTGGTCCACGCATCCACCCCCCCTCAAATAAGATAATACATGTGAGTTCATGGCTACTGTAGACAACGTTGCTGTTGCTCTGTGTTGCGTTGTTAATGAGTGAAACACACCGGAGTTGAGGATCTGTGGGGTTTATTCTCCCAGAAATATAATTTACAATTTAGGCATTTAGCAGACGCCTTATTCCAAAGCGACTTACAGTGACCAATTACAGGGACATTCTCCCTGGAGTAACTGAGGGCTAAGTGCCTTACTCAAGGGCACACTAGTAGTGGTGTTCCAGGCAGGATTTGAACTCGCAACCTTCCGATCATCAGCCCACTTCACTATCCATTAGACCAGTGATTCTCAAATGGGGGTACGCGGACCCCTGGGGGTACGTTGGGGTACTGCAGGGGGTACGTGAGATTTAAAAAAAAATAATTAAAAAAAAGGTTAATTAAAAAAATAATCTTAGTAAAATAAGTTAAATAGAAAACACAATTTTATATAAAACATTCCTAGAACCACCAAGGGGTCCTCATATAAATCAAATGTGTGTATTGTATTTTATAGTTTTTCACAACAACAACATATTACTTAAATTGAAAAACTCCTTGGAAAAATCTGTTTTATAAAAGTGTTATGTTATTTTTTTTCATGCATAAAGTGAAAATATCCTTAGTTTGTTGTAATGCATACCACGAAGGAGTTAATACATCAAACACTGAGGGAACATCACTATATTGTAATTATTTATAAAGGCTTTTTCGATCAAAAATGTTCGGGATCGGTCAGGGGGTACTTGGGCTGAGAAAATGTTTCAAAGGGGGTACATTACTGAAAAAAGTTTGAGAAGCACTGCATTAGACCACCAAAAAAAGAAGAATAAAAAAAAAAAAAAGGATCATAATAATACAAATGTTTTTATGATATCCATTTGTGGCGGACGATATTTAATTGTGGCGGCCCGCCACAAATACATCAATGTATGGGAAACACTGAATTGTGGGTTGAACTGTACCTTTAAGAGACTTCTGCCCTCCCCGAAAGACCATTTTATTTTTCATTTTCACTTGACTCGATTTGATTTATTTTAAAGGAAACTGGCTCATAACATAGTAGAGCTTTGCCCACTGTTAGGTTGCTGTGACAAATAGTCAAATCATGATAAAACCAGGACAAATATAAAACCTAAAGACTGAAAAATAAATGAACACCAATTACAAGATAAAGTGCAAAAGGACTAAGCAATAAAACAAACATGTGTAATTTTGTTTTCTGCTATTTTCCCTGCGGTAAAGAGGTTGTGTTTTCCGTTTGGTTTTGTTTTGGCCAAGGTTTTTATTTAAAGGCGGCTACAGGCATTATTTTTCACTAATGGAAACGGCCTTGTCGGAGGTCTGCGTGACCTTCTAGTTCTTTCACTTCATCATTTTACACTAAATACTTCCATTTGTTCCCATGAGAGCACTTTTCATTTATTATGAAAAGATTTGATGGCAGTACCGAATTATTGAAAAGCTTAAGATAAATCAAACTGAGTGCTTTTATCCTGGCAATTATACTGCCTTTACTTGAGTTAAAAAAACTATTTGGAGGAAGTTCATGCAGTATTTGACGGGTTTATTTGATGTTTTATTGCTCTACCAAAGGGAAACAACATGCATGTGAATACTGATGTTTAACAGGAACAAGATGAGCTCATGCAAACAGTATTGTGTGCAGTATCTGAGGTAGTTAATCAGTGTTTTGCAGACCGCCCGTGACTTCCTTTCTTCTCAAATACAAAAGTCTTCCAGTCTGATGTGCTTTGTGTAGGGAGCAGAACCAAAACCAATTCTTGCTTTTCTTTAAAATGTTTGTGTTAATTAATGTTACTTCTTATTAAGGCTAATAAAAATGACAAGGCTGTAATGCTAACTAACGTGCTAGCTACTAGCTAGGTAGCTAACTTGAGCCAGCCACTCCTGGTCCTTTCATCAGACGGGAAGCGAAAGAACGAGCAAGACCCAATGCTGGTATGATAACAACCTGGTACTAAGCACACAGGCATCTTGTTAAAGTTACCTTATCTTAGCCAGCGCCATATAGATAGATTATATCTATATGGCGCTGATCTTAGCTATCTCTTAGTGGAGGAAAACAGTTATGACATCACTTACTCTGGGATTTGTAGTCTTTCTAGTTGCGTATTTTTCATAGTCTTATATTTCAACAGTGACTTTTTTGACATGGAAATAATTTTTGAAGATTGACAAACATCATATGTGTAATTCATGGCACAATTCAAACGGGATCGAAAGATACGTTTTCTCTCTCCATTGACTCCAATACATTATTTTTCCGAAATAAGGTGCCATGGACCGGAAGTAGATGGGCGTGACTTCGCCACTCTATATTATTGAGGTAGAATTGTCCGGGGCTACAGAAGAAACATTCGGGGCAGGCCAGGCGACGCCACTGGCGAGCACACACACTACAAATATGTAAAATATTATTTTACCAACAATGTGGAATTTATTGGCTACATATTACACAAATTATGCACAGCGGGAGCAGCAATAACCGTCAAATAATAATGCAGACAGGGGAGCTCCGCACCGCCTGCCTGCCGCTAGGGGGTGCTGCAGCGCCCTCAGCACCCCCCTTCCCGCGCCCATGTGCATGTGTGTGTTCAGGTTCAAGTGTTAGTTTACATATTCTTTGAGAAAGGTCGAGTTCCCGTGGGGGAGGCGGGCAGAGGGAGGGGAGACCAGGTGCATGTTGCAAAAAAGTATTGTTACAGTGGATGAAGGTGGTGGGGGGGGGGGGGGGGGCTGTCTAAAGTCAAAGATGAATCTTGATTGGGCCAAATTTGACCTCGAGTCACCCAAAACAATTCTGCTGGGTCTCCCCAGACCCCAACACAAAATTATACACTTTTTTTTTTAGAGACCTTCAAACTTGGTAAAAATGGTCAAAATGAGTTTTGTAGTGTTCTGGTCCAGGTTCTCGTCATCTCATGCCTAGACTACTGCAACTCCCTCCTGGCTGGTCTACCTGCATGTGCCATCCGACCTCTGCAGCCAGAATGCAGCGGCTCTCCTGGTCTTCAATCTTCCTAAATTCTCCCACACCTCTCCGCTCCTCCGCTCCCTTCACTGGCTTCCGATAACTGCTAGAATCCACTTCAAGACAATGATACTTGTGTACCATGCTGCGAATGGATCTGGCCCTTCCTACATCCAGGACATGGTTAAACCGTACACCCCAGCACGTGCACTCCGCTCTGCATCAGCCAAACAGCTCGCTGCACCCTCGCTGCGAGGGGGACCCAAGTTCCCATCAGCAAAAACACGTGGGTTTGCTATCCTGGCTCCAAAATGGTGGAATGAGCTCCCCATTGACATCAGGACAGCAGATAGCTTACACACCTTCCGGCGCAGACTGAAAACTCATCTCTTTCGACTCCACTTCGAGCGATAGAACTATTAACAAAGCACTTATATACTAATAAAGGACTGGCTTATCTAAAGCCAGTTGAGTAGCACTTGAAATGTTTTTGCTCTATGAAGCCTGATGTACTTATATGATTCTGTTTTCTTCAAGGTTGTATTTTGTTGGTCGAACGCACTTATTGTAAGTCGCTTTGGATAAAAGCGTCAGCGTCAGCTAAATGCAATGTAATGTTTATATATCTGTGGTGGAGGATATCATGAAGCCTTGTTCCCATACAAAACACTAGAGCGTAGTTATTATATAATTTTAACTTGAAACAGGTCACGGGAGACCCGAACACAACATAAGGGTTAATGCCTACACTTTCAAACCCTGCATAGGAGTCCCTTGCTAAAACTCAATATAATAATAACAATAACAATACATAAAGTGCTTTTCTAAACACTCAAATATGCTTTACAATAGAAAAACATTTAGTACGTGCGAAAATATATATTTATGCTGTAACCCTCAGTAAGAAAGCTATGAAGGGTATGTGTCTATTATCTAACTATTCCTTAAAAAAGAGCACCAGGGTCAGAGTGATTGTGCAAAACACCATGTGGTCTAAAATGAATTTCAGTGACATTTCAGTACCATCGATTCAATACAAACACTTTAATGGTAGGATTCATCCCAAATAAAGTTCTGAACACACATTACACATGGTGCAAATGTATATTAGTGTACCGTATCACTTAAAACTGAAAGAGACATGAGTTCAAATTAAACATGGACACGATTGAAGGGTGCAACATCATGCATCACAACATAAATCCAACAACATACAGTTTTCGTGCTGCAGCGGGGAGAAGCGGGACTTTACCTAAGTTGTTGCCGAAGCTTCAATGAGCTGTGAACAATATAAAGCCAGTGATGATGAGCTTTCAAAGTCCAACAGAAATGTGTGTTATGTTTTATTAGACTGGCGTAGAGGCATGAAGCACCTGCTTATCTGTTAAATGAAAGTGTCAACAACTCCATGCAAATCAAGATAATTGGAATATAACAAGTCGTTTGATGAATGTGTGGTGGGACTATTTCTGCAGGTCATTGACAGTTCATTGGTTCACATCAGGGGTGTCCAAACTTTTTTCACCGAGGGCCGCAAACAGAAAAATATACGAAGGGCTGGGCCGCTCACTAGAGGTATATTGGCTCATAAGTTATAAGTTAGAAAACTCAATCAGGTAAATGACGGTTGATATTGATGAGAAAAACACACAGCTCTCCGTAGGGTTTCATTTATTGTGTTAGCAGCTAATTCCTTAAAACAGAAGCTTCAGATTGCTGATAATAAGAGGAAATATGAAGTGTAGATTTCAAGGTTGCTATGTACTGTAAATGTGTTTTCTTATCAACTAACATTTGTTAGAACATGTTTTCAACTTGAATGGACTGAATTTATTTGAAAATGTGGCTTACATGAATACTGTGTTATATATTTGAACATATATATTTAAAGGTCCCCTATTTTACAAAATCCACTTCTTCATGTCTCTTCTACATCAACATGTGTCCCCTCTTCTTCATGTCTCTTCTACATCAACATGTGTCCCCTCTTCTTCATGTCTCTTCTACATCAACATGTGTCCCCTCTTCTTCATGTCTCTTCTTCATCAACATGTGTCCCCTCTTCTTCATGTCTCTTCTACATCAACATGTGTCCCCTCTTCTTCATGTCTCTTCTACATCAACATGTGTCCCCTCTTCTTCATGTCTCTTCTACATCAACATGTGTCCCCTCTTCTTCATGTCTCTTCTACATCAACATGTGTCCCCTCTTCTCCATGTCTCTTCTACATCAACATGTGTCCCCTCTTCTTCATGTCTCTTCTACATCAACATGTGTCCCTTCTTCTTCATGTCTCTTCAACATCAACATGTGTCCCCTCTTCTTCATGTCTCTTCTACATCAACATGTGTCCCCTCTTCTTCATGTCTCTTCTACATCAACATGTGTCCCCTCTTCTTCATGTCTCTTCTACATCAACATGTGTCTCCTCTTCTTCATGTCTCTTCTACATCAACATGTGTCCCCTCTTCTTCATGTCTCTTCTACATCAACATGTGTCCCCCTCTTCTTCATGTCTCTTCTACATCAACATGTGTCCCCTCTTCTTCATGTCTCTTCTACATCAACATGTGTCCCCTCTTCTTCATGTCTCTTCTACATCAACATGTGTCCCCTCTTCTTCATGTCTCTTCTACATCAACATGTGTCCCCTCCTCTTCATGTCTCTCTACATCAACATGTGTCCCCTCTTCTTCATGTCTCTTCTACATCAACATGTGTCCCCTCTTCTTCATGTCTCTTCTACATCAACATGTGTCCCCTCTTCTTCATGTCTCTTCTACATCAACATGTGTCCCCTCTTCTTCATGTCTCTTCTACATCAACATGTGTCCCCTCTTCTTCATGTCTCTTCTACATCAACATGTGTCTCCTCTTCTTCATGTCTCTTCTACATCAACATGTGTCTCCTCTTCTTCATGTCTCTTCTTCATCAACATGTGTCCCCTCTTCTTCATGTCTCTTCTACATCAACATGTGTCCCCTCTTCTTCCTGTCTCTTCTACATCAACATGTGTCCCCTCTTCTCCATGTCTCTTCTACATCAACATGTGTCCCCACTTCTTCATGTCTCTTCTACATCAACATGTGTCCCCTCTTCTTCATGTCTCTTCTACATCAACATGTGTCCCCTCTTCTTCATGTCTCTTCTACATCAACATGTGTCTCCTCTTCTTCATGTCTCTTCTACATCAACATGTGTCTCCTCTTCTTCATGTCTCTTCTTCATCAACATGTGTCCCCTCTTCTTCATGTCTCTTCTACATCAACATGTGTCCCCTCTTCTTCCTGTCTCTTCTACATCAACATGTGTCCCCTCTTCTCCATGTCTCTTCTACATCAACATGTGTCCCCACTTCTTCATGTCTCTTCTACATCAACATGTGTCCCCTCTTCTTCATGTCTCTTCTACATCAACATGTGTCCCCTCTTCTCCATGTCTCTTCTACATCAACATGTGTCCCCTCTTCTTCATGTCTCTTCTACATCAACATGTGTCCCCTCTTCTTCATGTCTCTTCTACATCAACATGTGTCCCCTCTTCTTCATGTCTCTTCTACATCAACATGTGTCCCCTCTTCTTCATGTCTCTTCTACATCAACATGTGTCCCCTCTTCTTCATGTCTCTTCTACATCAACATGTGTCCCCTCTTCTTCATGTCTCTTCTACATCAACATGTGTCCCCTCTTCTTCATGTCTCTTCTTCATCAACATGTGTCCCCTCTGTGGAAAGAAACTCTGAAAGTTTCAGGAACAAAGATTCTCTCTCTTTTTGATCCATTTCTATAAAAACCTGTCTGAAAATGAGCTGATCAGATTTTGGCCACTTTATGATGTCATAACGATGTGTTGGCTTATGTAACCATTAGCCAATCAGCAACCAAGGTAACCCCCCCCCCCCCCCCCCCCCCCCTTATCACCTGAATCTCCTCCTAGAGCACCATTGAGTTCTTTCTAACCAAATCTCTCTCAGAGGGGCGTGGGGAGGGGCTCCTTATTTTCATCTAAAGTAACAGACAGAGAATCAGCACTTTTGAAACAGGGCTGAAACAGAGGGGATTATGGGTAATGCTGCAATGATCTGTTTGGTGTTTCAGCCAATCAGAGACAGGCTCTGTATATATCTGAGACCTATAATATATTGATGAAACACAGTATAATAGGGGACCTTTAAGAAGTACAATAGCAGACGTTTAATTTGTTGGCCATATTTCATTATACTTTTAGAATTAGCTGAGGGCTGATTCAAAATGGTCAGCGGGCCGCATTTGGCCCCCGGGCCGTAGTTTGGACACCCCATGTACTCCCTTTAAAGCAGATCCTTTCTTTACACTCACCTCGATGTCGATCTCGGGCTGTATGATGACCGGGCAGAGAGGTGGGGGTCTGTTCAGAGCTGACCTGGAGGACCCTGCTTCTTCTGCTGATGGAAAACAGATAATCACACTGAGAGGCTGATTAGTCCGCAGTGTGTGAGTCATTAAAGAGGCACTCCACAGATGAAAGCATGTACGTCATGTCTTCAGTGCGTCGGATCAGGATCTTAGGTTTAAGACTTTAATCCTATTTAAAGAAAGGCTGCGTCACTTCAGAGATGTTCAGATAAAACATTTTCCAATTCCTGAACTTGTGGATTGTTGGATATGAAGACCATATCTAATACCAGAAAGATAAACACGAAAACGTATATGATGTATTTGTTAAGCAGCTACAGTACGCCTTGTATGGATGTTATTTGATCCCATCATTGATTTCGGAAACGGTTACTAGCTGATGATGGAAGTATTGCCTCTGTGTTACGCTGATATTTTAAAACCAGTGCGTAGTGCATATGATAGGCTGCATCGGAGGCATTTCTGAAACCGGTGGTATCTGGAAACCCTTCATTACATACTGGCCACTAAAAGTATTAATTACGCCGTCATAACTCCCAACTAAATGGAAGTGCAATTCTTGCGGATTACTGCTTCAATCATATACCATGATATACGAATATCTATTATATTAATATTTATTCATTTATGTCTTGTTATTTCTACAAATCAAGACGGATATTTGGGATGACAGTACCTTCGTCTTTATCCTGCTCCTCCTCTGAATCGAAGGGATCCTCCATACTGAAAGTAAAAGAGACAAAAAACACAAGGTATTCAGACGTCTTAACAAACCCAATAGTACCCTCTCTAAAACACAAACGTAGTCCTAAAGAACCTCATATGGCCTAATGGTAGTCATGCTTTTAAACGCAGAGTGTGTATGTATTTTTTTAGACAGTGTACGTATTCAGGAACGTTGGCTGATGCTGATTTTAGTTCTTTTTTTTATAATGTAATTGTTAAAAATCATAAACTGTAAAGCACCCGTGTCATGCTTTTCCGGTTATCACCCGTCCCCTTGTGTGTTATGATGGTTGTTCTGCATGTGAACGGTCTGCAGAGTCACAAACCCTCAAAGTACACCCTGTAGGGAGTAGATCTCTAACACAGAGAAGACCTGTCTGCTGCCCCAGAACGCCTCGTTGGACATTTCTCTTTTTCCATCGTTTGCTTCCTGGGTTCTGTGACGTGTGCACACCCAGATCAACAACAAATGACCGGATTGGCTCAAATGGACCAATCCTCGGAGCACCTCACACACCAGGATCCCTTGGCTAACTAACGGCCCGTCCACACTACAGCTTCAAAAAAAGCTTGGAGCTGGGCGTGTCTGAAGCTCGACCAACAACCAATCACCTGAATCTCCCGCCCCTGACACACAAGCAGCGGTTTGATTGGCTAGAGCTTGGACTGGCATATGATTTGATTGGCTGACGCTTCCACCGAAAGCTTCAGAAGCTTCAAAAGTTAAACATTGCTCAACTTTTACAGCCTGAAACGCCAGGAAAGCTCCGCTCTGCTTCCCACAATGCAGTTCGCCCAAAAGTGACGTCACCCCATTCAAAGTGAATGGGCAGAAGCGTTGGAAGCTGTGTGGACGGGCCGTAACAGGGAGTCCCCATTGACTTGCATAGAGCTCCCTGAACGCTGGTAATAGACGAGTTGGGATGGCGGAGAAATGCTCTCCGCAGACCCATTGACTCACAGCGTTTATAAACCTTTTTCTTTCTCAATATCAAGCCACACTTATTGTTTTTACTTCGGCTGTGAGTGTTTGTGTGCTCAGGATGAGTTTCGCTGACCCGGAAGCCTGTCCGCTCCTCGCAGCAGCGAGCCTCTCAACGTCCCGACCAATCAGAGCACACTGGGCTCACAGGGAGGGGGGGGCAGGAGCTCCAACAAGGCGTTTAGGACAGAGAGTGAATACACATACTATACAGAGATGCTGTATGAGAAACCAATGTGAGTTTGGAAAATTGCACAATTTAAATCTATTCTATTCAACAATGGAATTATGATCAGTAAAAATAAATGGCCGTGACATGGGACCTTTAATTGCAGCATTAACCACAATCGCGTTTACGATTAATTGTGTTAAGTGTGAACAGGAATCCAATTTGATGTTAATAGAATAAAAATATGTGAGACAGACATTATTTTAAAAGGATATGTGGGTGAAAGACAGCATCAACTCAGCTCCAGACACGGAGAAAGAAGTAAAAAGGAGCTAAATTGTCAATATGACACATATGTCGTAGTTTTATTGCATTAGTTTGCCATGAATTTAGTGGTTGATTCTGAATACTTAAAAATAAGAATTAAGTATTTACTAGGTTGCTAAGTAGTAAGGGAAAAACTGATAAAAAGCGCTGCAGTAAGCCATAGGATTTTCTATCCTACATAATAGTTTTGCACTGATAAGTATTATCAAGACTAAATATTATTTACAAAACCTAAGAGCCTAATCGTCCACAAGATCTACACTTAGTTTTGTATTTTCGACTCATTTGGCAACAACGAGAAGGCTGTGGCTCAGTGGGTTAGTGTGCTGATCTTCGATTCAGAGGATAGCAAGTTTGAGTCCCTCTGCAGTCAGCATGTCGTTGTGTCCCCGAGACACTTCACCCCAAATTGCTCCTGTGGGGATTGTCCACAGTACTGAGTGTGTGTAAGTCGCTTTGGATAAAAGTGACATGTGATGTAACAAAAGCAGCGTCTGAATCATCTGATAAATGCAGAGTCCATATCTAAAACAAAGAGCCGCACCTCCACATTTGAAATGGCCGAGCAGGTGCTCACACACCGTCATCAACACCTGTTACGGATAATTAGTCTCAATATTTGCTGATGCAGTTTGGATGTTAATGTACTGAATGAGCCTTTTGAAGTAGGTAATGGTGGTGTGTTATCTCTTTGTACTGTACTGTACGGATCAGTTACTGTACTGCCGCTCGGTGTTTAATTGCCAGATGCCTCCGCGATGACACTTCTCATTAGAGTGTTTGTTAAAATAGACAACGAGGTGGGAAATGAGTGAGCGAGGAAATATGCACTGAGGGTCATCGTAAAGTGCAAACACAGGATCAGCCATTAAGTCATGTTTCTATATTAAAGGCAATGCATCTGATCTAATTGTGGTGCATTTACCTAATGGATATCAACTTGAGACTTCCCCAGATGAATTACTTTTAATTATAATGTGTTTTGTAAGGGGCGGGACATCTCTAAGCAGGTTGACCAATCACAACAGAGCCGGCCAGCTAACCAATCAGAGCAGACTGTGTATTGTATTGTGAAATGCATACATGTTGTACACACTAGGTGAATAGGGTCAAACATGTAACTAACAGATATCATCATGAAACCTCCCCATGTCATTATTGACATTAAGACAATTAATTATTGTATTACAAGTTTTCTGAAAATATTATGCGTATATAAAATACCGAAATAGATAAACATGGTAAGATGTGTGTGTGTGTGTGTGTGTGTGTGGCCTTGCATTACTATACTTGTGGGGACCTAAATCTGTTTACAGAGTCACGTGTGGGGACTCGCCTCCCTTATGGGGACAAATTGGAGGTCCCCATGAGAATCATTAATTTTAGGGTGAAGACTTGGTTAGGTTTAGGCGTGTGTTGGTTAGGGTTAAGGTTAGGATAAGTCTCCAGGAAATGCATGTAAGTCAATGTAATGTCCCCTGAAGTGATGTATACATGGTATGTGTGTGTGTGTATTTGTGTGTGTGAGTGTTTGAGTGTGTGTGTGTTTGTGTGTGACAATTATGATTGATTATTATTACAATTTCTATGTCTACGTTAAAATAAGTTGATCATCTCATTTTCCATTAAACTACATTATTATTCACTGCAGTTTTGATCTCAAGTCGTTTTTTGATAGCGTGTCATACAATAGCAAACAGGCCCGGCCTCAGCCTCTCAGCGACTTTGTTTGTTTCCTGCTGTCGCTACACTTGTTATGGAAGCTAAATAGCCCAACATCTGAAATAAAAACTATATTTTTGCCCGTATGTCTTGCTTTGAAATCACCTGCAGGAATATATTTCTATAAGTTGTGCTGACAGGTTGGGGGTGCAACATTTCCAAGAGTCTTGCAAAGGATGCCAAATGAGCTAAAGGTCATCAGTGTGATGAGCGTGTCAAATGGGAATGACCTGACCAGATCTTCTTACTCCTGCTTATTTCAGTTTGATATCAGCTGAGGAGATTTTTCATCTGATAGACACCTAAAAGGGATCTTTGCATCATCAAGTCATTCAATGTTAAGGCGAGACACTACAGGTGAATAGGGTACTTTTTTTAACTTAAAGATATCAGCTAGAAATTTCCCCAGTTATTTACTTACATTAAGACAATTGTTTTTTGTATTACAAGTTTTCTGAAATAGCATGTTTAAATATGCATATGAGCCATTATCTAATTAAATATGCGCATATTTTAATACATTTCAGGAACACAAATCTGAACATTGGATAAAGCCAGGTTCAAAATTCTTGTTTCATTTTGTAGTCATATTAGAATCTAAAGTTTTTACAGAAGGGATATTGGATATCTCTTTCTATCACTCCATAAATCAGAAAATACTGTCAACAGCCCAAAAATATCAATTTTCGCCATGTTTTTAGGTATAAAATGTTATATTATTCAGGCTATGAATAATATATGAACAAACCCTTCTGTAAAAACCTTCAGAATATTGAGAAAATCTACGGAGAAATCTACAGACGCAAATAGACAAACTATAGTAAAATAAACACCTAAATGTGTATTTTGTACGTTTTCCTTCCAAAAGCCTGAAAGAAAACATGTTATGGAATCAAAATAGCACAAAATCTCAAAATTGACCAGTGCATGAAAAACGATGTTTTTGCCTGCCGTGTCTCGCCTTAAGCTATTGAAGTGTTGAAGCTCTGACATGGAAAGCACAGTCTCATCAACAATCATTACAATAATAAGAGGTTATTAGTCCTTTATGCAACAAGTTTCTCTTGGCTCAGCAGCCTGTGATATGTATACTAAACTAAACTTAGACTGATCCATATAATCAGCTCCAAATTCTGTAAGAAGATAATTGTTAAAGGCACACCCTTTGCAAGCAACTCACAACAAAAGCATGCTCAGACCTGCAGCCACCATCTGATCTGATAAACAACTTCTGCTCTCCAATAGGCAGATTAGAGAGCCTCTTATTCTTTATGTAACCCCTTACTCTACTGTACTTTAACATCTAAGTAAAACGACATGTCCGTTGCTTTTCTCTTGACCAGTGCTCAGGTCGGTCAATCGGTCCAAAAGGTGGAAGTTAAATATGTTATTAGTGGGGAGTTCATGCCTGACCTGGGAAAAGCTGTCACTTTTTTTTAAATACACTCCATTGAGTCACTTTATTTGCTGAAATGAGACTTGTTTCGTTGTTATGGTTTCACATGTGCATCGTCAATTAGATTTGTAATACACAGAACAGTTTGAAATACTTCTTCTAAGGAGCGTTAGTTAATTCTTCTCTGACAGGTTAAATGATATGTCCGTTGCTTTTCTGGTGACCAGTGCTCAGGTCGGTCAATCGGTCCGAAAAGGTGGAAGTTAAATATGTTATTGGTGGGGAGTTCATGCCTGACCTGGAAAAAGCTGTCACTTTTTGCCTGAGTCTGATCTGGAGATGAAACCCGGGTCACGTTGCAACACTCCACAGCGAGTTGATGCAAAACAACGTCTAACGCTGAGGCCAGACTCATGGACACGAGTGATACTGAAACAGAAACACAGCGAACTTTGCACCATCAGATACTATGCATTGTTGTCTAAAGACTATATTCAGTATGTAGAAATATCTTCATATTTGTGCTCCGCTTCCACCATGTTTGTATTTCAACATCTACTTTTTGATGCTATTTCTATTTGAGATGTTTACATTTTGGATTGTTTATTTCTAGTCTCTAATGTACGATGCGTTGTCTTTTTATGCTGCTGCCACGCAAACATTTCCCAAATTGGGATCAATAAAGTATCTTAAATTATAAAAGGAATATCAAGGCTCCTGTTGTGGACACTATGGGTTTATGTTATCCAGAGCCACTTTCATATGGATAGACGTGACTCAAATACACAGTGAACGTACTGTCAGTGTGGTTCATATTAATGTGCTGTTGGTCAAATATTCTAATGTCTAGACGTGTTTCATCCCACCGTCACCTTCCTCCCACCGGCTGCTTTGTTAATGTGTTCAAATCTAATTATCAGAGAACTTCAAAGCAGCTAATGAATCTGTAACGCCGCCACATATCCTGCTCCCCCGTCTCCCTCATCTCCCTCATCTCCCCCCATTCAATCACTGCCTCCCCCCTCCATCTCCATCACTCTGCAGAAGCACTTCGATTCTTAACTTCAATAAAAGTAGTGATACCACAGTCTGGAAATACTCCATTCGCGGTGAAAGTCCTGAGTTTAAAATGCCACTAAAGTAAAAGTATGTTTCATTGCATTCAGCTGATGTTTTATCCGAAGAAACCTACAAAGTGTTTTTAACCATGACTAAACAAAGTGCAACACAAGTTAATAATCCTGTAAGTTAGCTTTCACATTGTACAGAAGAATTATCAGCCATATGTACATCACAAATAAAACCACTCATTATGTGCAACAAACTCAACTAATATAAATAAACTGATAGGTTATGATAATATTCAGTAGGTTAAGCTATCCATCAGGATATAAAGTCATTCAAATAGACCATTATAAAGTGAACCGTCAAGTGACGAGCACATTACTGCATCATTATAATTAAATACTATAATCTATTATTCTGTAATAGGCCATTTTGCACAATTAATTATATCTCTTTTGTTTTTTAAGTTTATTTTCATGCTAATACTTTTGTAGTTTTACTGAAGTAAGATTTGTAATGCCATGCCACTAACTCTACAATGTATTATTTATACTTAAAACTATACGTATTCATCCACATGTCCGGCAGGGTCTCAGTCAGTAGGGGCTTGGACTGGGAGCCGTAGGGTCGCCGGTTCAAGTCCCCGACCAGACCTAAAATATGGAGTGTGGACTGCTACTTGGAGAGGTCCCAGTTCACCTCCTGCCCTGCCGTGGTGCCCTTGAGCAAGGCACCGGACACCCCCACTCCCATTGCTCCCCGGGCGCTGTACAATAGCTGCCCACTGCTCCTGGTACCAGACTCCTGGTACTAGGATGGGTTAAAAGCAGAGAACACATGTCACTGTGTGTGCTCTGCATTACAGAGGGTTTCATCCCTCCCAGTTTTAATTTAAAAAATAAATAAGCCTGTGGGTCTTCCTGCTGTCTCTGTGCATTATGAGATGTTTAACACACTTTCATGTTGATATAACAATAAACTAAGCATATCATGTTAATGCCTGATCAGTGAAAAGCTTGCATTCTTTTAAATAAACTCAATTGAGTCACATGATTTGATGGCATGAGCCTTTTGCTGTTGTGTTTTGGTGCATTTTCAATTAGATGTTTCTCTCAAAGCAGTTTGAAATACTTCTTCTGAGGAGATGTTTACTAACCAAACGATATGTGTCCCTGAGTTGGCTCCGCTGTAGTGTGAAGTGGTTGGTACCTTTCAAAGTACCCTTACTCTGCTAATTAAACGTTCATGTTGACGATAAACAAAGCGTTTAAGTCCCCTCCTCTCAAACGCAGTGAAGTAAAAGCAGCCCCCCTCCTGAGAGGAGCCAGTCATCAGTGCTCCTCCAGGACTCTGAGAGAAAGGTCAGAGGTACGCAGAGTGAATGTCGGGGAGCGCCAGCCTGAAAACGACACCTGCCCTTCGCCTATTTTCATCGCCTCACACACCACTGGCTGATTGGCATTCTGTGAGTGAACTCGCTCCAAACGGCCCTCTCTCTGCAGACGCTCAAACACCGGCCATAAATTCACTCCGTACATTTGATACGTGAAACATATAGCATTGATATCGTGTTAATAATAAACTCACGGTGCAATTCAACTCAGCGATACAACAAGCTTATAGATTTGTAATCTTCACGGTCTACTGTGTGTTCTCTACTTTTAATGCTGATTTAATTCTATTTTGAGATGTTTAAATTCTACTATTGTTTATTTCTACACTTTAATTTCTACTTACAGTATGTGCCTTGATTTGTTTTGTTGTGTTTTATTCTGCTGCAACGCAAACATTTGCCAATTTGGGATCAATGAAGTACCTTTTATCTTATCTTATCTTATTATTAAGTACTCAAATCTTTAACTTAAGTAAAAATAGAAATACTATGGTCTTAACAAGTCCGCCGTTGAACATGTAACTTAAGTAAACGTAAGACAATTGTACTTCAAGTATAACAAGTTAAAGTACTCAATTTGCAGACTGGCTCCTTTCACAGTATTTGAGTGAAATGGAATATTATTATTGTGTTTTATATCACAAAAGACATGTTGCGTCATCTATCATGTTGTAGTTTGTCAAAGTTGAGCCAATGTTAGTTACTGGGTAGGTTCATGGTACCGTACAGTATCATATACGCATATAATGGTATGTATGTAAGAATTAACCAGCAACAATGAGTTTTAAAAACATGTAGTGGAGTTAAAAGTACAATATTTACCTCTATAGTAGAAGTATATGTAGCCTAAAATGGGAATATGTAAGTATACATATGTCAAAATAGTACTGAAGTACAATACTTGAGTAAATGTACTTTCAACACTGATAAAACACCTAACATGTTGTAAATAGTCTTCTTAAATCTCATCATCCATTAGTAGAAATGTTCCTTTTGAGTGTTTTTGTAAAGTCACAGACGCCCATTGACAAGAGACTAAACACTAAATTGAAGATGACTTTGATAGACGGCAGTGTTGCTCTTTTGATGTTCTCTATCCCGTTATCCTTCATTCTTTCGGATAATCATGTTGTGAAAATCTGCCTTCCTGACAGCCTTTATACCTTTTGTTTGCACTGTGTCTTTGCCGCTAACTGCTGGGACTGAATATGATGATGTGGAAGTGTGTTTTGTTGAGATCCCACTCGTCTTGAATGCAGTCTCCAGGCAGACCTCCTGAATAAAGCTCAGGAGTTAGTCAGCGACAGGATCCTGCAGCTGCTCTGAGGTCAGGTGCTTTGAGACGTTTCACTCCATGATTTGAAGGCAGACACTATTTCAGTGTAAATAATGACAATTGTAAAAATGATTGATGCACAAAGGGTAGTTCTAATAAGATACGTTTTCATGTTTTTTGATCAGTGTAAATTAGCTTTGGATGACAATATGTCAACTGTCATGACTTATTATTGTTCATTTGATATTTTTGCATTTGAGTTGTATTGGTTGAAATTGACCAACAAAACCCAAAGTAAACCAAACATGGAAGTTATATCGAAGAGAAAAGTGTAATTCCCAGTGTTCACACAAGGAGGAAAAAAGGTGTTTTGATGACAGGTGATAAGAAATGGATTGTTGTGTTTGAAATTGGATATTCAGGGGAATTACGAGGACACAAAACAAGTGTGTGGCCTTTCACTCATCTAAAATGGAACCTGTTACAAAATCAGTGCTTTTTATTCGATTTCTGGGTCCAAAGGTGTTATAACTCCGGAGTTGTTGTGCGTTTTATTGCCTATTTTAGCATTTGGGCACTTTACAACCGACCAATCTGGAGATCAGAGGTCAAGGCCCAAATACTGCACACACATTCTGTAAAATGAGCCTTCTTTGGTCTGTGTTTGTGGGATTAAAGCACACTTGTGACAGCAGATTTACCTGTAGGCTTTTGGAGGTTTGAGGATACCTCTTGACTGCTGCATGTCGGTGTGTTTCTGAGCCAACTCCTCTTCATAGGACAGGAGCAGATTCACCACATAGTTCATCTGGGAGTTATTGGCCCAGTAGTCTCCATCAGACGTCTCGTAGCGCACGACAAACTCAATGCGAGAGCCGTGAGTGATGTAAGGAGGTGCAAAGGACAGCTTGAAGGAGAACTGGTCAGTGTTCCCATCATTAGAGCCCTGCACGTACTCTGCAGGGTGGTCAAAGTAGGACGCCCAGCTGTCCATGGTGGATCTGATGTACACTGCTTTGTGGAAGGACACGTTCAGGACTCTGATCAGCCCTCTGAGAGCAAGAGGCTCATCCTCTGCGGGGGAAATCTGCTCCACTTCCACTTTGCTCGCGTGCACAGCCTGCAGCAGGGACCCCCCGCTGGGCGCACTGAACTCTGGGTGCACATGATAAGTGGGCTCCCTCTCCGGCTTCCTATACTTTGCCTCCTCTTCCTCCCACCGTGCGCTCTCCTCTTCACTGTCCGAGTCAAAGGCAACAAATTCCTTCACATCCACCAGATCCCCACCTGTTGTGTCGGCGAATTGCACCTTCTTGCGCACGGACAGCGCCAATTGGATGCGTAAATACTCTGCGGTTTCATCGTAAATGGAGTGGCCTCTCTTCCTGGGCACCGGGGAGCATCTGGGGATGAGGCGCATGTTTTCGCTGTCATCGTCTTCATCATCGTCATCGTCGTCCATGCAGTTTCTCTCTGCGTTCACGGCGGATTTGTTGATTTTAATGGTGGTGAAAAGGCCCTCCTGACTTGGTATGGATAAAAAAGACATTTCTGCAGACACTCATGGAAGCTGTGTACATATGGCGTCTCCAAAAAATAAAAAATCACTACCAAATGCTCATTATTTGCGCAGCAGTAGATCCAGTGCTGTTCCTGTTACGCACGGAGCCTCTCTAGTCCCAGCGTTAAATGTCACCCATGGAAACATGTGTTTGCTGCCAGCCCTTGTGATAGAGTATCCCCCGGTTTACATGACTTTATGCACCGCAGTTTGGCTGCTGTCGCGGAAGGAAAAGCTTCTAATTTTAGCGCTGACCTACAGAGCTCTCCATGCCCCAAATGTGTCTTTAGAGATGGTATAATCCTGCGACTTCCCCCCTCTTCTGTTTTGGTTTAGGCTGGATGAACGCCCACTACTGGAAATAGGATATAAAAGTAAAATTATATCAGCCAATCGTAAGCCTTTCTCAGGTATGACACCATTTTAAAATGATATAGCATTATAATAAAACATCTGCAGACACCTTCAGGTATAGGTTATTTAGAATCTCAAAAAACACATTTATAGGATATGTGTTGGTTGCAGGGTGACAAACAAACATGATTTATTAGCATAATTGAATCTTAATCGATTTCTAAAATATTCCTGATTTGTAGGCAAATAAAACATTGAATACAAATACATATTTTGAAAGATTTATCATTTCTATTTCCCTTTCATTTATATTGGAGTTTAGTATTGTAATAGCTTATATGTATGTTTTTCTATAATTGTTGTTGTTATATATTGTAACAATGTACATATTTTAATATACTTATATCTTAATTGTATTTTAAATATTTCTCTTGGTTTGTATATATTTATATTGTAAAATGACAGCAACTGCAACGTAATTAAAATATACAATCAGGCAATATAGGCTAGAAATCTGTATCTATAGAATATATAAGACAATAAATAAATAAAGAATAGCTAAGAATGCACTGTAATAGACTAAACTAAAGCAAACCAATTTAAACAAAATATACTTTACATACATTATAAGGGTGCAAAATGCAGTGGTTTTCTCTACGTTTTGAATGCACTGAGGCAGAGTTTGAGTACAACATGTACAATGTAATTCTGGTGTCTTCAATCATATAGCTTTATGGCTTCATAGCTTCCATCATATAGTGTACTGCTATATATAGGCTTATACATATGCTTTTGTACTAATTCATGTTAGGATTAGGTCTCATTCTGGCTGCTCTTGCTGCTGCGCAGTTAAACCGCTGCTCCAGTTATCACCGTGTAAACACACACTTGTCGCTGATTGGCTGAGACATTTTAGCGCGGCGTCCTGCAGCCAATCAGAGGATTGTTTTTCTGTCACGTCGTTGCACGGATAGTAGGCTAACGGATATTGCAAACACAAACTAACACAAACAACGCGGGTTTGTTTCTAAAGACGGCACGGCACGGGAAGGGTTGTTAATGTGGACCGAGTGTTTCCTGATGGACTTATATTCGTGAAAATGTGGAGCGAACATCGATGCGAGGACACACGAATTGGGTAACGTAAGCTAGTTAGCATTAGCCTGCTAATTCACCACAAGGCCGCTGATAAAAACAACAAGCTTCCTGTTCTGAAGGATGTAGGTTACTCTACGATCCGAGTTATAACACCACAGCTGTTACCTACGGAGCACAAGTTCAGTGGTGCACACGATTTTATTATTACGTTTGTTTTTAGTTGTGCTTGCAGGCTACCTAGCTTGGTAGCTCTTCGACTAGCTGGTTAGCATGAGTGAAGTGACTGATTCCAAACAGTCCGCTGACTCTGCGTCCAGGAAACGGCGTTTGGAGCCCGATGGAGGCAGCGAGGTGCCCAGCAAGTGCCCAAAAGTCAGGGAGACATTAGAGGAAGCGGGGGCCACTTCGGAAAGTTGCAAAAACAGTGAAGCAGATGGGGAAGAAACAGCCAGGAAGGAGGACCAGTCAAAGGAGAGCGAGGGAAAACCAGCTGAGGGTCTGCAGGGTCTGCAGGGTTCAGAGGACCCCTGTGCACCACCTGTCAACAACCCCAAGACTAGCAGCCCTAAGGCAAGCAACACAGAAAAGCCACAGTCCTCAGATGCACAAGGCTCTGCTGAATCTAAGGAAAACACACAGAAAACAGCAGGGGCAAAGCTGGGACCCTCAGCCTCTCTGGATCAGACCGACTCTGCAGCCATTGCCGCGGCTGAAGCTCTTGCCAGTCTCACAAGAGGAGACGCGGAAGACAGCCGAGAGACTCCTTGCTCCTCAGAAAAGGCTAAACCGGTGAAACAGGGGAGCAAGTTCAAACAGCGTGGGAGTCACCACCACCACCAGTCCTCAAAAACAGGCTCCAGGACGCAGGCAGCGGCAGCAGACAGCTCCACATCCGTCCACAGCACCGATAGGGAGGATGGAGACGAGATGCCTGGAGCAGACGAAGGAGATGAATCCATGTCTGGATCCTCGTCCACTCCAAGCTCTTCTTTCCCGTCTGACAATGAGGACAATGAGGACGGGGAGTGTGCCATCGTGTCGGTGAAGATGGCCCCGGAGATGAGGCAGTCGGTGGCCCTCCTGGCGCAGGTGCAGATGAGACTGGAGGCTCTGGAGAAGAAGAACGCTCGTCTTCATCAACGGCTGGAGCTGAAGATCAGCCGTCAGCGGCGTCCACATCTGGATCAGCGCAGATCCATCACAAAGACCATCCCCGGGTTCTGGGTCACAGCTGTATCCTTGACATGAGAACTTCCTATGTTTTGTTCCAAGTAGGGCTAGGCAATCAATGTTATACCGATAAGATAAGACTTTATTCACCCCGAAGGACATTTGTGTGCCAGAGTTACAACAATACAATAATCGCAGTAGCAGCATAATAAAACAACTGTACACTAACAGCGCAGTAACAAGAGCAATTCAATAACTACAGGAAACATAGACGGTCACATAATTAATGTAAATATTAACAGTATTTAGTAGTGCAAAAACCGTAGTGGTAGTTACGTAATTGCACGTTATTTATCGAACATTATTAATAATAATAACACTTCCCTTCCTATGTTTTGTTCCAATTAGAGCTAGGCAATCAATATTATACCGATATTAAGATGCAAGACTAGATATTGTGTTGGATTTCTGATATTTAATGAAGTATACTTGTCTTTTCCTGGTTTAAAAGGCTACGTTACAGTAAAGTGATGTCAAGTTATGAAGTACTAGACGATTCCAGCTGTTCTGTTAGATGCCTTCACCTAATTTGTAGTTTGACATGCATTTATTTTGTTATTTAATCGTTTATTTGAACCGGGACAGCGCACATTGATGAACACTTGTGTAAATAAAGCGTTAATTAAGCGTCTTTGGGTTCAAGAAAAGCACTATAGAAATATAATTTATTATTATTATTAAATGAGCCGGATTTGAGCTTTGAGCTAATTTCCTTCCGTAGTCCCGTCACAGACAACATATAAGAACATGACATTTATATACATAGCAAAAATAAATACATGATATGCAGGAAGAGCATGAGCAGCATACACAAGCATTAACCCATGGCAGTGCAATGTAGCAGCTATGGTATATCAAGTGCAAGATAGGGCTGTGCGATTATGGCAAACATCATAATTACGATTATTTTGGTCAATAATTGATATCACGATTATTAAAAACGATTATCCATTTACTTTGAAAACATCCATTTATTGAAAAAATAATGTGAGCAGTATGTTTTTAACAGTTGATTACCCTGAACTTTAAGTTGAATTAAACTGAAAAAACTATTTAAATTATTATTTTTTTTAAATAAAATTAATAATCGTTTTATTTCGATTATGTTGTTTTCGTAATCGTTTCAAGCCAAAATCGTAATCGAGATTAAAATACGATTAATTGCACAGCCCCAGTGCACGATAAGATAAAAGAGCTACCTAAAGGGCAAGAGGAGATACCCCTGTATTAAAGTGTATTTAGCGGTGATTACACGTCTGGTTGTTTCTCAACCATTCTTTGAGTTGACCTTTAAAACTATTGAGAGTGGGACAGTTGGGAGGCTGTTCCACAATGAGCTTTAATTTATAGAGTGCTTTACCTGTCTTTATGACTACCTAAAGCACTTTTAGATGAACAAAACAGCATTCACAAATTCACACACATTCATGCACTGTTTGCCAGCAGGAGAAAGACGTTTGTGTCCACTTAACTAATGAATATCTCTAAAAACTGTCATGGTGTAAATAGTTTAAGTAAATAGTCAAAGCACCAATAGACAACCTTTCAGTATCGTTGCAGTATCTTGTAGAAATATTGTGAAGAAAGAAATCCTTTTTGTTGTACTGTCTCCAATCCCCAGAGCCCTAGTTATAATAATTGATTATGTTTTGAGTTTTTCTTAACTGCCATACGCCAGCTGTTGAATCATCCTCACCTCTCGGCTCACATTGACGAGACCGATGAAGACGCTCTGAGCTACATGACGGATCTCGAGGTAAGAAGTGTTGCTTTGTTCTTCCAGATGTATCTCTTCCTTTCTATGCCTAGTGGTGGTCTTACTCTGTCTGTGTTTTTCAGATCGAGTCCTTTAAGAATAACAAGCTGGGCTACAGGATCCGTTTCCACTTCAGGCGGAACCCGTACTTCCAGAACAACATCATCATGAAGGAGCTGCACCTCGGGATGGGAGGTAAAGATATTCATGTCGTGATTAAGTCAAAGCATATTGTAGTTAAAACAACTGTGAACATTCATAAACACACCTCCGCCCCTCAAAGACTGCAACCACAACTATTTAGAAATATTTATGGCTGTTTGACTTGCATCCTTTGGTTACTATAACCCTTTGAACACACAAGAAATACACTTCATTTATACTAACGTTTTTAGACTGACATTGCATTTTATCTCGTTGCATTCTCGTCGCTACTACCTCTGCTTTTACCACTCTTATTTATTTGTGTCTACTGCCGTGAGAGTTGTCTACTTCAGTGAGAGTTGTGTCTAGTTCAGTGAGAGTTGCGTCTACTTCAGTGAGAGTTGTGTCTAGTTCAGTGAGAGTTGCGTCTACTTCAGTGAGAGTTGTGTCTACTGCAGTGAGAGTTGCGTCTACTTCAGTGAGAGTTGCGTCTACTACCGTGAGAGTTGTGTCTACTGCAGTGAGAGTTGTGTTTACTGCAGTGAGAGTAGTGTCTACTTCCGTGAGAGTTGTGTTTACTGCAGTGAGAGTTGTGTTTACTGCAGTGAGAGTTGTGTCTACTGCAGTGAGAGTTGCGTCTACTTCAGTGAGAGTTGCGTCTACTACCGTGAGAGTTGTGTCTACTGCAGTGAGAGTTGTGTTTACTTCCGTGAGAGTTGTGTCTACTGCAGTGAGAGTAGTGTCTACTTCCGTGAGAGTTGTGTTTACTGCAGTGAGAGTTGTGTCTACTGCAGTGAGAGTTGTCTACTTCAGTGAGAGTTGCGTCTACTACCGTGAGAGTTGTGTCTACTTCCGTGAGAGTAGTGTCTACTTCCGTGAGAGTTGTCTACTTCAGTGAGAGTTGCGTCTACTTCAGTGAGAGTTGTGTCTACTGCAGTGAGACTAGTGTCTACTGCAGTGAGAGTAGTGTCTACTTCCGTGAGAGTTGTCTACTTCAGTGAGAGTTGTGTCTACTTCCGTGAGAGTTGTGTCTACTTCTGTGAGAGTTGTGTCTACTGCAGTGAGAGTAGTGTCTACTTCCGTGAGAGTTGTCTACTTCAGTGAGAGTTGTGTCTACTTCAGTGAGAGTTGTGTTTACTGCAGTGAGAGTTGTGTCTACTGCAGTGAGAGTAGTGTCTACTTCCGTGAGAGTTGTCTACTTCAGTGAGAGTTGTGTCTACTTCGGTGAGAGTTAGGGGTGTAACGGTATTCGTCACGGTTCGGACGTCACGGTTCGGCACATGCAGTCACACGACGAATACGCCTTTGAGTGGGGAAAAAAGTCTGTCATTCAGGGCAGTATTACACTACACTATAATCCAGGGGCCGGTATTGCGCCTAAAAGCTGTTTGCCAGCCGCCCTTAAAAAACAAATGAAGAAGAAGAAGAAACACAACAAAACGAACAAAATACAAGAAGAAGAAAAGTTAGTATTGATTTGATATACTTTATTAATCCCCGTGGGGAAATGGTTTCTCTGCATTTGACCCATCCTAGTGTTAGGATCAGTGTGCTGCCATTTTGAACAGCGCCCGGGGAGCAGTGTAGGGAACGGTGCCTTGCTCAGGGACACTTCGGTAGCACTTGGTCTTGCCGGGACTTGAACTGGTGACCTTCCAGTTGCCAAGCCAAGTCCCTAAGGACTTCGCCACCACCGCCCCTAATAGTATGGCGATTTCAGATAACACACAGGAGCTAGAAGACCCACCTGCTTCTTTTAAATCAGCTGTGTGGGAACATTTCGGGTTCCCTGTGGACTACAATAACGATGGAGTGCGAGTGGTGGATCGGATGAGGACGGTGTGTCGGCGTTGTTCGATAGCAGTGCGGTATGCTAATGGCAACACACGCCAAACATGCAAAATCATATCAGAAGGCATCACCCAGATTTGCCAATCACCGGAGCCCGGCAAAAGACAACAGCAGTTCAACAGCTGATCCCCGCTGTTTTTAAGAAGCCAATAGACATGAAAGCCGAGAGACCAAAATAAATAACGGAAGCTTTTGACATATGTTTTTCGATGACTATGCGCTTTGTTATTATTTATGATGTAATATTTTCAAGACATTCTTTTTAGTTTTACAGCTTATTGAACCTTTTCGTTTGACATCAGCCATTATAGATAATATGGCCATCTGAGTGTGTGTGGTACTGTTTGTGGTTTGGTTTTAACTGTGTAATAAAGTTAATTATTCAAAATGTTAGAGTTCCTTATTTTTAAACTGAAACTGGCACTACTGTTAAAAAATAAATAACAACAAACCTGGAATTATGCATTTGGGACTTTTTTTTGCTTTTTCTTGTTGTACCGAACCCGTACCGAACCGTGACCCCCAAACCGAGGTACGAACCGAACCGTGACTTCTGTGAACCGTTACACCCCTAGTGAGAGTTGTGTCTACTTCGGCGAGAGTTGTGTTTACTGCAGTGAGAGTTGTGTTTACTGCAGTGAGAGTTGTGTCTACTGCAGTGAGAGTTGTCTACTTCAGTGAGAGTTGTGTTTACTGCAGTGAGAGTTGTGTCTACTTCAGTGAGAGTTGTCTACTTCAGTGAGAGTTGTGTCTACTGCGGTGAGAGTTGTGTCTACTTCAGTGAGAGTTGTGTCTACTTCAGTGAGAGTTGTGTCTACTGCGGTGAGAGTTGTGTCTACTTCAGTGAGAGTTGTCTACTTCAGTGAGAGTTGTGTCTACTGCGGTGAGAGTTGTGTCTACTTCAGTGAGAGTTGTCTACTTCAGTGAAAGTTGTGTCTACTGCAGTGAGAGTTGTGTCTACTGCAGTGAGAGTTGTGTCTACTTCAGTGAGAGTTGTCTACTTCAGTGAGAGTTGTGTCTACTGCGGTGAGAGTTGTGTCTACTTCGGTGAGAGTTGTCTACTTCAGTGAAAGTTGTGTCTACTGCAGTGAGAGTTGTGTCTACTGCATTGTGAGTTGTATCTATTGCAGTGAGAGTTGTGTTTACTGCATTGTGAGTTGTGTCTACTGCAGTGAGAGTTGTGTCTACTGCAGTGAGAGTTGTGTCTACTGCAGTGAGAGTTGTCTACTGCGGTGAGAGTTGTGTCTACTTCGGTGAGAGTTGTGTCTACTTCGGTGAGAGTTGTGTCTACTTCAGTGAGAGTTGTATCTACTTCAGTGAGAGTTGTCTACTTCAGTGAGAGTTGTCTACTTCAGTGAGAGTTGTCTACTTCAGTGAGAGTTGTCTACTTCGGTGAGAGTTGTGTCTACTGCGGTGATAGTTGTCTACTTCAGTGAGAGTTGTATCTACTTTAGTGAAAGTTGTGTCTACTGCAGTGAGAGTTGTGTCTACTGCATTGTGAGTTGTATCTACTTCAGTGAGAGTTGTGTTTACTGCGGTGAGAGTTGTGTCTACTGCAGTGAGAGTTGTGTCTACTGCAGTGAGAGTTGTGTCTACTGCAGTGAGATTTGTGTCTACTGCAGTGAGAGTTGTGTATATTGCAGTGAGAGTAGATGCAGTGAGAGTTGTGTCTACTATAAAATAATTATATTGTGGTCATTGTTAAAAAATGTCTGCTATTATTATGAGTATATTATTATTTGTATAATGCGCTTTCTGCCCTGTCATCAGGAGTTAGACATGTAATGGCCTAGATTAGAACCTTCATTATCCTAAACTGCTGGGACATTTCCCTATAGCGAATATACCTTTTTTATATTTTCTACTCTTCACTTACTTGTCAGCATAGGTCGGCATTGATGTACAGAGCCGACAGAAGACCTTGTTTATATCATCGTATTGAAGCCAACTCCATCGATCAAGCCAGTGTGGCTGAAACGTTCTCTCCCTCTTCTTCTCATACTCCCTGTCACTCTCCTTTAACTCCTCCGGTGACATTCTTTTATTGAAGATTGTTTTTTGCCAGGCGCTTGGCCGGTTACCGCTGGTATTAAAAAATATTTGGCGAATCAGTGACGTGCGGTGAGGTTCATGGCTGGTGAGGCACTGACTCTTTCAGAGTCAGATTTACAAATATTATATTTTGACCTTAATCGAAATGTTCGGTTATTTTCAAAAGCTTTTTTGGTCTGATGCTTCGATTCATTTTAAACAGACCGTTCAACAAAAGGATACCCACAATCTAAATATTGGATTGTTCTTTCTTAGTAAGATCCCATTTTCATTACAATTGGGGTCTTACCTTGACTTGAAGATGAAGTCCATGCTTTCCTTCTGGACAACAATCTCCATTACATTTTTGTAAAAGTCCTCCTTATCTTCCTGTAGTTTCAAAAGTCTAGTTTGTTGTTCGCGTATACCTTCTCTGCGTAGAATAACAGTAGCAACAAGAACCTGTGGGCTCACGTTCGCCCCCTTCAGTGCGGCAGAGGTTATGGCTGCCTCCCCTGGTGCTTTTTTCATTGCCGTTGTATGATGAGACCAGCGAGCCTAAATATCATATACGTGAAATAAGTTATTTAGAGACTATGGATGGCGAAGATAAATGTAATAAAGGGATCTACAAACATTACATTGGTGACATACAGTGAGATGGTGCAGGCATGCGCTTAGGGCCTGCTTTCCAGCCAGTTTCTGTGGGGTGACGCATTCTGAGGTGAGGCAGAGCTCATCTGTGCCTCACCTCACCACACAGTAACTGGCTTGAGCGCGCTCACAAAATAAGTGCCCGCGCTACATTAGTGCCCGCGCTCCAGCCAGTTACTGTGGGCTTACGAGAGGCAGAGCTCATCCCTGCCTCACTTCTCATCGCTACCCGTAGTTGTAGCGGAGCTCGGCCAATTTGCTGATTTTGACTATAAAAAGCGATTGGAATCAAACAGAAATCACACTTACAACACAGATCAGTGGAGACATTTAATTATTATTTAGTTTTTCTTTAGTTGTTTTTCCGTTACATTGGAGTATGACAGGTGAGGCTCTGCCTCCCCTGACTGCACGTCGCTGTGGCGAATGGTTAGGTGGCGAGAAAGTCTGTAGTGAACGAGCGCGCTCGCGCACGGGAGCCTGCTCGCGCTGCGCTCCGCAGCAAACAGCTGTTTGCTTTTCACCCAACAAAGACAACTGCCTCACGAAACGCTATGTTGTAGCGTTAATAAACGAAACAATTTAATAAAATAACAATACCACAGGACCATTTTTTTTTTTTAAAGCAATATTTTTAGTGGCCCAAGCGGCAAGTGGAAAGTACGTTATGCTCGGGGTGTCTAAATAGTGCTTCCGGGCCAGCGAGCCATTTATAATGTCGAGCCCTGCATGTGTTTGTGATCCTCCAGAATGGAAGTAGTCATCACATACAGAGCATCAACTAGTTCCTGAACAGTGTCCTTCACATGCTGATATCCAAGAGAGGGAGTCACACAGTCAGAAGATGGAGGAACAGAAAGCAGTATTCAATGTTTACTTCAGATTAGCTCCACGTCAGAAATGAGCATGCTTTTTTGGCTTGCAACGATTACGAAAACAACGTAATCGAAATATTTATTTATTTGAAATCGTTTTACAGTTGAATTATACTTTAAAGTTCAGGGTAATCAACTGTTAAAAACATACTGTTCAATTTTTTTCAATAAATGGATGTTTTTAAAGTAAATTGTTAATCGTTTTTAATAATCGTGATATCAATTATTGACCCAAATAATCGAGATTCTGATTTTTCCCATAATCGAGCAGCCCTACGGTCATGTTCACAGCTACAGTTGGGATACCTTTGTTATCATGTTACTCTCATATTGGAAGAGGACATTCACTATTTTCCCAACAGTTTGTGTGTTTTAACTAAACTTTATCAGCTGAGAAGTTTGCAATCAATGTATCCCTGGCTAAAATCTCCTTCTTCCCTGGCTGCTGGTGTTTCAGGCTCTCCGATGTCCTTCTCCAACCCCATCCTGTGGCACCGCGGGCAGAACCTGACGGCCCACAGCGAGGCCAGGAAGTCGTCGCGCGGCGTCTACCAAACGTTCTTCAGCTGGTTCAGCGACCACAGCACCCCCGGGCAGGACGACGTAGCCCAGGTACCAACGACTGCACCTCCACACTGACACATCTGCATTAGAACAGCTCACAAAGCAGGACAGTAACACTGCAGAGATTTAGCAAGATACACAAAGGGGAAAAGCCTTTGTAAGCTTTTAAAGCTCACCTATTATGCAAAATCTACTTTGTCATGTCTCTTCTACATCAACATGTGTCCCCTCTTCTTCACGTCTCTTCTACATCAACATGTGTCCCCTCTTCTTCATGTCTCTTCTACATCAACATGTGTCCCCTCTTCTTCACGTCTCTTCTACATCAACATTGTCCCCTCTTCTTCATGTCTCCTCTACATCAACATGTGTCCCCTCTTCTTCATGTCTCTTCTACATCAACATGTGTCCCCTCTTCTTCATGTCTCTTCTACATCAACATGTGTCCCCTCTTCTTCATGTCTCTTCTACATCAACATGTGTCCCCTCTTCTTCATGTCTCTTCTACATCAACATGTGTCCCCTCTTCTTCATGTCTCTTCTACATCAACATGTGTCCCCTCTTCTTCATGTCTCTTCTACATCAACATGTGTCCCCTCTTCTTCATGTCTCTTCTACATCAACATGTGTCCCCTCTTCTTCATGTCTCTTCTACATCAACATGTGTCCCCTCTTCTTCATGTCTCTTCTACATCAACATGTGTCCCCTCTTCTTCACGTCTCTTCTACATCAACATGTGTCCCCTCTTCTTCATGTCTCCTCTACATCAACATGTGTCCCCTCTTCTTCATGTCTCTTCTACATCAACATGTGTCCCCTCTTCTTCATGTCTCTTCTACATCAACATGTGTCCCCTCTTCTTCATGTCTCTTCTACATCAACATGTGTCCCCTCTTCTTCATGTCTCTTCTACATCAACATGTGTCCCCCCTCTTCTTCATGTCTCTTCTACATCAACATGTGTCCCCTCTTCTTCACGTCTCTTCTACATCAAACATGTGTCCCCTCTTCTTCATGTCTCCTCTACATCAACATGTGTCCCCTCTTCTTCATGTCTCTTCTACATCAACATGTGTCCCCTCTTCTTCACGTCTCTTCTACATCAACATGTGTCCCCTCTTCTTCACGTCTCCTCTACATCAACATGTGTCCCCTCTTCTTCGTGTCTCTTCTACATCAACATGTGTCCCCTCTTCTTCATGTCTCCTCTACATCAACATGTGTCCCCTCTTCTTCATGTCTCTTCTACATCAACATGTGTCCCTCTCTTCAGTCTCTTCTACATCAACATGTGTCCCCTCTTCTTCATGTCTTACATCAACATGTGTCCCCTCTTCTTCATGTCTCTTCTACATCAACATGTGTCCCTCTTCGTCATGTCTCTTCTACATCAACATGTGTCCCCTCTTCTTCATGTCTCTTCTACATCAACATGTGTCCCCCTCTTCTTCATGTCTCTTCTACATCAACATGTGTCCCTCTTCTTCATGTCTCTTCTACATCAACATGTGTCCCCTCTTCTTCATGTCTCTTCTACATCAACATGTGTCCCTCTTCTTCATGTCTCTTCTTCTTCATCAACATGTGTCCCCTCTTCTTCATGTCCTTCTTCTTCTACATCAACATGTGTCCCCTCTTCTTCATGTCTCTTCTACAATCAACATGTGTCCCCTCTTCTTCATGTCTCTTCTACATCAACATGTGTCCCCTCTTCTTCAATGTCTCTTCTACATCAACATGTGTCCCCTCTTCTTCATGTCTCTTCTACATCAACATGTGTCCCCTCTTCTTCATGTCTCTTCTACATCAACATGTGTCCCCTCTTCTTCTGTCTCTTCTACATCAACATGTGTCCCCTCTCTCATTCTCTCTTCATCAACATGTGTCCTCTTCTCATGTCTCTTACATCAACATGTGTCCCCTCTTCTTCATGTCTCTTCTACATCAAACATGTGTCCCCCTCTTCTATGTCTCTTCTACATCAACATGTGTCCCCTCTTCTTCATGGTCTCTTCTACATCAACATTGTGTCCCCTCTTCTTCATGTCTCTTCTACGATCAACCATGTGTCCCCTCTTCTTCATGTCTCTTCTACATCAACATGTTGTCCCCTCTTCTTCATGTCTCTTTCTACATCAACATGTGTCCCTCTTCTTCATGTCTCTTCTTCATCAACATGTGTCCCCTCTTCTTCATGTCTCTTCTACATCAACATGTGTCCCCTCTTCTCATGTCTCTTCTACATCAACATGTGTCCCCCTCTTCTTCCATGTCTTCTTCTACATCAACATGTGTCCCCTCTTCTTCATGTCTCTTCTACATCAACATGTGTCCCCTCTTCTTCATGTCTCTTCTACATCAACAATGTGTCCCCTCTTCTTCCATGTCTCTTCTACATCAACATGTTGTCCCCCCTCTTCTCCATGTCCTCTTCTACATCAACATGTGTCCCTCTCTTCTTCATGTCTCTTCTACATCAACATGTGTCCCCTCTTCTTCATGTCTCTTCTACATCAACATGTGTCCCCCTCTTCTTCATGTCTCTTCTACATCAACATGTGTCCCCTCTTCTTCATGTCTCTTCTACATCAACATGTGTCCCCTCTTCTTCATGTCTCTTCTACATCAACATGTGTCCCCTCTTCTCATGTCTCTTCTACATCAACATGTGTCCCCTCTTCTTCATGTCTCTTCTTACATCAACATGTGTCCCCTCTTCTTCATGTCTCTTCTACATCAACATGTGTCCCCTCTTCTTCATGTCCTCTTCTACATCAACATGTGTCCCCTCTTCTTCATGTCTCTTCTACATCAAACATGTGTCCCCTCTTCTTCATGTCTCTTCTACATCAACATGTGGTCCCCCTCTTCTTCATGTCTCTTCTACATCAACATGTGTCCCCTCTTCTTCATGTCTCTTCTACATCAACATGTGTCCCCTCTTCTTCATGTCTCTTCTACATCAACATGTGTCCCCTCTTCTTCATGTCTCTTCTACATCAACATGTGTCCCCTCTTCTTCATGTCTCTTCTTCATCAACATGTGTCCCCTCTTCTTCATGTCTCTTCTACATCAACATGTGTCCCCTCTGTGGAAAGAGACTCTGAAAGTTTCAGGAACAAAGATTCTCTCTCTTTTTGATCCATTTCTATAAAAACCTGTCTGAAAATGAGCTGATCAGATTTTGGCCACTTTGTGATGTCATAACGATGTGTTTGTCTTGTGTAACCATTAGCCAATCAGCAACCAAGGTAACCCCCCCCCCCCCCCCCCTTATCACCTGAATCTCCTCTAGAGCTCCATTGAGTTCTTTGTAACCAAATGTCTCTCAGAGGGGCGTGGGGAGGGGCTCCTTATTTTCATCTAAAGTAACAGACAGAGAATCAGCACTTTGGAAACAGGGCTGAAACAGAGGGGATTATGGGTAATGCTGCAATGATCTGTTTGGTGTTTCAGCCAATCAGAGATGGGCTCTGTAGATATCTGAGACCTGTGATATATTGATGAAAAACAGTATAATAGGGGAACTTTAAAACACAAGTAAAAACTCACTTTATTTTAGAATGAAAGATTCAAAGGTTGTAGTGTGGTGTGCAGAGGAGCGTCAGCGTCGTTGTGGGCAATTACAATGTTTAGTCCCAGTCTCCTCCAACAAGGCAACATGAAAGGGACAGTTCATAATAATAAAGACATAACAAAAGTCTAAGTAAAATGCAGGGAAAACCAAGCTATGTTATTAAATGGAAAAAGGTAAACATAAAGTTAAAATATAACCTGTACAGTTTAATAAAATACTACTTATTGTATTGTGAATAATTGCTTTTATGTGATTTTATGCATGATTTATTCCATTTGACTTTATAGGTAAATGACTCCACTCTCACCCTGACAGATTCATTATAACACAGGGTTCTTACGGTCATTAACAACCTGGAAAAGTCATGGAAATTCTAAATGCTAATTCCAGGCCCTGGAAAAGTTATGGAAAACAATATTTTCCCCAAAGTTTTGGAAAGTGATGGAAATGTAACTAAAGTTGCATCAAATATAATTTATATTTGATCTACTCGTCGAATTAGTAATACTATAACGATAATAAATACTGTATCGTATAGTAAGGAAACGTAAAATGACATTTAACTGACGAGGTATTTTGCTGGAGAGAGATTTGAGTTGCTTTAGCGTGTGGAAGCTAGTAAGCCTGTTGGATTTGTTTTAGATAGGCACATGTTTCAGATGCAGACCTTATTTTCCTGTTCCATGTTAAAAAAAAACATTATCAGTGGAACGCTGAGAGAGTAATGTTCTTGGTCATGGTTAGGTAAATGTCATTGGTGGAAAAGTGTATAAACAGCACACAGAGCTGGAGGTCAACACTGACACCAGTTAAGATTTAGCTGGATACACACACACACACACACACACACACACACACACACACACACACACACACACACACACACACACACACACACACACACACACACACACACAGGAAAAGACAACAACATTCTTTAGCCGTTTTAATGCTTGCACAATAGCTTCAGCGTTGTTGTTGGGGATTAAAATGTTTAGTCACAGGCTCCTCCAACCGAGCAACACACAATCACCTCCAGACATCAAACGACAGATTGCGCAAGACAATTGTTCAACTGACACACTAATGCAAGTACAGGCAGGAATAAGTAAACCATGTGGTTCAAAAGAACAAGACGAACATTAAATCGTGTACAGTGGAAGAAAATACTACTTATTCTAGTTGCTTTGATGTATGTCGTTCATGTTGTTTTGTTAGTTTTACTACATGGTTAGTTGCTGGTTTATATACATATATATATATATATATACATATGGTGGTATGACACTGGAGATCTTCTTACCTTTTTAAAAACAATACTTATAGAATAGGTTTTATGTCATGTTGTGTTTCTTGTTCCATTCTGCTTTGTGTTTTATTACTTCGTTTATCTTAGATATCCTGATATGAGACCAGATGGTTAGTTTCATGCGCTGTGCATATGAAATGTGTTCAGTTTGAAATGGATAGCACTGTAAGTGTGTTTTTAAAGGTGAATTAGTTACATTTTAACTAGTATTATGATACACTTCCTCCAACTAGACAACTATTCATTGCAATGATTATGTGCTTAAAGTCTGAATTGTGGAACAACAAGATATAATTGTATTCTTTGTTTACTCAACTTTCTCTAGTTTCATAATACACTGAGGATTTAGGGATATGCAGACGTTTCGATTTTTGATTATAGCTAAGGCAGGTTGAATGTATTTCATCCTTTTATTAGACTCTAACAGATTGAAATGACTCCTGTTGTTGTGTTCAGATCCTGAAGGACGACCTGTACCGAGACCCTCTGAGATACTACCTCACTCCACTGTGGGAACCCCGGGAGAACGGCAGGTAGGGCGTCTTGGATATTTTATAGCAACAGTGTTTCCCCTACCATTGTCTTGGCGGGGCGCTGCGCCCTGCCAACGGAGCCCCGCGCCCCGCCTGAAATTCAAGGTGTTTTTTTGGTTTAAAAATAATATATATTTATAGCACCAAATTGCAACTGAAGTAATCTATCTATACGGACACTTTTCACATTGAACATGTGCTCTTTTATTAAATAAACTAAACGCCTATGTTATTTATCCAATGTATGTGCATGTTTCAGTGTCCACTGCTTTGCGTATTCACATTCTCCCACACCCACCCACCCACACACACACACACACACACGCACACACACACACACACACACACACGAATGCACACACACACACACACACACACGAATGAATGCACACACTCACAATCAGAGACAAGAGCGGAGGAAAGGAGGAGAATAACAAAAAAAGTCAAACAAATCTGCATTATTGCCCCGAGCTGTGCTGTCTGCCCGCTTGTGTGTCCCCCCCCCCCCCCCCCCCCAGTTTCAAATTCGTTTATTATTATTTTTTAACCTCAAGCCGTTATCGTCACGGGAGAAGGACACGCACACGTGGACGCGCGTGAACGCGACAATGAACGTAGCGTGCTCATTCTAAAAGTAGCTCACAGATGGTGAGCAGGTGCCGCGGTTTTGAACTACAGTATTGAATTTGACAGAAAACAATGAAACGCCAGCAGAAGAATAGTCTAATGAGTTGGGTGAAAAAAAGGACCGGAGATGTGAGTTGGTTTATTCAGTAAAGTAGCTCAGGATAATTGGATGTTCTGTCACTTGTTGTTGATGTGAGGCTAATGCAGGATTTGCTAGCTTGATGCTAACGGCATTTAGCGGCAGTGACTCAACAAATTGACTCTTAAAATGTATCGTCAGCAATGTATGACAAGCAGCTTGTTTAATGTTAGACTCACACCAATGGCTCAATATGATCATAACACGATTGCTTTCACATCAGAGATCAGATGAGGTGGAGCGGCCTCCAGCAGTAGAGGATGAGGCAGAGAGAAGCGGCAGCAGCACAGGGTTGCAGCAGGTATGATATTGTAGTCAGGTGATTTAAATGTATCAATGAAAGGAAGAAGTGTAGGCTACATGATAAGAAGGGAATAGTTTGAAGAAAAGTAATACAGTACAGTGTAACACTGTACTGTATTACTTTTTAATGTACAAATACTTTGTTACTGTACGACATCAATAACAATAATCCACATCTCCTCTCTGCTCCAGAGCAGCACCCTGCCAAGGCAGTGCGCCTAGGGGAAACACTGAGAAATACACAACTCAAATAAATGTCGTATTAAATCATTTGTTTACATAAGGTTAGTTTGTTTGTATATCACATTTTAAGACACAGAGGCAATTCAAAGTGTTTCACATAGGCTTTAACACATAATAAACGTATGCCTATGCGCTATGATTCATTTGTGGTTCCTTTTTTATTTGCAACCGTCGATACAAATGTGTGGGAGAGAAACTCCCTCTGAAGGCAACACAGGGATTTTAGCCTTTGCAGACCATTTACATGCACTAAAACTAACACACTATAGGAAAGGGAAAACCCCCTAAAGCATCTTTAAGGCAAAACAAACCTAAAACAATGAAACAAAAATTGACACGGATACAAAACAAACTAGAAACAAAACATTTAAAGTAGGGGTGCTCCGATCGATCGCTGCTCTCTAAAAATGCCGATCAAGAGAGCCGATCACATGGCGTAAAATGTTGACGTAAAATACATGACACTTTTCTCTGTGCGCGGCAAAGCAAGCTGACAAAATGGCTTCACCGCTCTGGCAGTATTTTAAGGTGTCAGAAAAAGACAGTAAAATAGCGGTGTGTGAAGCAGAAACTCTGCAGCTCCGCCCGCTGAGACGGACCGGTGAGCGGAGCGACACACACATTAAGAGTTAGACCTAACACACTTAGCTATTTCATCTACCTCTGGAACAAGCTACACTAGTTATACATGTGTTTTATTCTTCACTCTCGGGTCACTCGTTACTGGATCAGCGAGCTGCATGAGACGATACTGACTGATTTCTCCCGTGTTATTCTCCAAAGTTAATGTAAAGTTGAAAAATGTGCTTCATTTGAATGTAATAATGATGTTGGTTGTTGTTTGCGGAAGCGCCAGTGAATGAGCATTAACTGAGTTTTAAACATCACTTTAAATGGAAGATAGGCCCCGCCCACTCGATCGGATCGGCGATCGGTATTGGCCGATACTGATTCGGGAGCATCCCTAATTTAAGTCTCTTTTTGTGTTTCTGTTGATGCTCTCTCGGCCATGTCTCCCTTAAAAACTAAAATGCTTAACCCTTAGTGGGTTCTAGTTAAACAAAACAAAACACGTGTGTGTGTATTCAAGCCGCAGAACACACAGTGTAATGTGTGTTCTGAGGACAAACCCATCATTAAGCCGAACATTACAGAAATATTCTCGGCCCCGGGGCTTTGAAATTACAGTCCATGAACAAACTTTAACAGTTTCCTGATTTGTTTCCCTCCTTCCTCTCCGTGGGACCAGGTGGGATGCATACCGAGACAATGAGTGTGTGTGTGTTAACACCAGTGTGTGTGTTTCGTCTCCAGTGGCGGCAGCAGCGGGGGCCAAGCGGCTGATAACGGTAACGGAGACGACTGTGTGGTGATCTCCGACTCGGACGATGAGCCCGGGAAGGAAGCTGGGGAAGAGAAGCCAGGCCACAGGAAGGAGGAGGGAGAGGAGGAGGAGGAGGAGGAAGAAGAGGAGGAGGAGGAGGAGGAGGAGGAAGAGGAGGAAGAAGACAAGGGGCGGAGCGCTGGTTAGTAAGGAACAATAACTTAGAAATACTTCTGAAACCCTGCTGGTCCAAAAGTCTGGTTTGGGAACAGAGATTATTTATATAAATATAGCACTTTTTACATTTAGTTATAGCTAGATTTTTATTTTTGAATGTATCCAGTATATTTTGAAAATGATTGTTAGCTTTTTTTTAAACATTACAGTTGTTCCAAAATGCCTAAATGCTGGATTGAGTATCAGCGAGTGTTCAGGTCTTTGCGCTAATCTAATGTACCGTTATAATTCATCAGCTCATTTACAGGAATGAAATACTCTCAACCGAAATGAGAAAAAAAGCAAAGTACTTTCCTCAATCAGCGTCATGAAAGAACGACTTTTGCATCTGGAAATGATGGAAGTATCGAAACAGTTTGACATTGCACTTGTTTCTCATAAACTGTGTCTGCACAACAATTTATTCATCCCTCGATCTTTAGTAAGGACTGACTGTCACATTGGTTAGCGATGACTTTCTATGGCATTCAAAAGGTGTTCAACTTGAGCTAGGCTGTACAGCAATGACAGCATTATATCACATCCACGCTGGGTTAGCATCATCTTCACTCACTTGTAAACCAGCTGTGATATAAATGATGCTAATGGGGGATGAACTGAATTAAAAAGCTGTCTCCTCCTCAGATGAGAGTCCAGAGGAAGGAGAGGAAACAGGAGAAATCGTGATTGACGGTAAGAAAACACTCACTACAAACAGTGGGGAGACTTTACCTTATTCATTCATATTAGGCGCTTTCACACCGGAGTACTTTTACCCATCATTTTCCCGTTTAGTTCCGATAGTTCCTGGGATTTTGCGTTCACACCAAAAAGAGAACTTAGTTCAGAGAACCTTTCCGCCCTTTTCAGTCCCTGCTAGAGAGCAGGTACTTTCCTGGGGAGAAAAAAGTTCCAATTTCTGATCGGCTGGGAGAATTGCAAACCACGCCCCGTAAAACTCTGAAAAGTGTTTTGAAGCCGCCATTTTATTTGCTGGCATTAGCATTATTAGCATTAGCCCCGCACACCAACAGAGAGAGACTAACTTATGGCAACACAAAATAAAACATGGGAGCGGTGGAGATGAGGAGGTGTCGGCGTTCTGGCGATTTACTCGGAAGGCTTCAGTCGAAGCTGCTGGGAGTCCCAGCAGCTTCGACTGAAGCCAGTCCCCAACTCCGGGGACTTCCGGCCGGGGACTTCGGGTGGCAGTATACGCTGTGAAGTTGTTTGCGGCCTGCCAGTAAACCCAAAGCAGAAGACGAAGAAGTGACGTCAGCGGCTTCATTTGCGTAATCCTCCCTCAGGGACTTATTCCGGTGTGAACGCGATCGGCTCTTAGTTCCATGGGGGACCTAAGTGCTGGGAACTAAGTACGGCAAAGTACTTGGTGTGAAAGCGGCTATTGTATACTCATTTATCATCCTTCCTTTCAGGATCTTTTTAAATGCTAAGCGTATTTTTCTCCTGCAGGCTCTGACGACAGCGAGCAGGGAGAGGATGCGCAGGCCTGAAGATGAAGAGTGAAAAGCCGGCACTGACGACGAACAGTAACAGAGCAATGTCGTTTTTATGCACAGAATATCCGTGTTTGTTGTTGTTTTTATACCTAAAAGAATATTTTAAATCAGGGTTAATAATAAATAATAAAGCCAAGGCAGCATGGTGTCCTCTCTGTTTTATACACTCGGTACTGTGTAGTCGTATTTTATTGTTTTCTAATCTTCTGTTTAAACAGGAGCATCGTGCAGCAGCCTGTAGGAGAGATCCGGATTAACGGCATTACAATTTGTGACATAAAAACCCTTCAGTGGCAATATTCACAGTCATTTTAAAGCAACGTTTTTAGGAATTTAACACGCACGTGAAGATAAATTGATAATAATGACAGTACATATGAGATGCACTGAACCAAAATTAGTTCTCAGGGATCATGGTGGTAGTTTTATTGAAATTAACAGACATGAACACTCTGGTTTTTGTCGGCTGTGTATAGGAAAGCGTGTAATCTACTGTAGTTAATCGGAAGACATTTTGTTTTAATATGCTCCCTTCTTCATCGATGCGCTTGTTCCTTCCCTAGTTGAATAATCATCTCCGGTGTTTGTAATATCATTGCTTAGTTTGTCGGTTTCCGCTCCTACAATAAATAGAATTGTATTATATTTTCCCTTTGTTAGAATTTAACTTGGAATTTGCTTTCTTTAACAGTTAAAGGTGGGGTAGGTAAGTTTGAGATACACTTTTTGTTATATTCCATGGAATGCTCTTAACATCCTGATAGCAATGAATATCTGAAGTGCTTTGACAAAAAATCCATTAAATATTTCATCTGTGGAAGCCGTGGCGCTGTAAAAAGCTCGACCAATCATCTGAGCCGGCCCGGCTAAAGTAACTGGATGGCCTACCTGCCTGTCAGCCTTCCATCTGTGCACAAACTGATCTCGTGCCCTCATTGGTCATGTGTGTGTTGGAGGAGGGGCTCTGGAAGGAAGTGGCAGATTTGTTCCGGTTGTGTATTTTCAAATTCTAGCGCACTTCAGCTGGTTTCTCCAAAATTACCTACCCCATCTTTTAAGATGAGTTTTCATGTCATGTGTTTTATTTTTGTGTTATCTACTTTTTAAAAAGTTGGTATTTATTACATTGTTTTTTCTACATGACGGCATGCATGTGAGGCGATGATCACATGACCTTTTCTCCGTGCACAGTGTCCGTTTAAATCCACAGCAATGTTAATGAGTGCACTGTAACACAACTAGTATTTGTATTTGCTTACTTTTCTTAGCAATGACCTGTACATAATATTTCAGCACTGTCTTTTAGATGAAAGGCAAGTACATGTGTTTAATTCATGGATAAATTCTATCAAAAAAAAATCGGGAGGTTTTTTCATAAACATGATCAGAAAGTTATATTTTGTGTGCTGTGTTTTATAGACACTGTAGTTTGAAGATACCCGTTTGTTGCTTTGGTTCAATTTGTTTTTGCTTTGAAGATAAATGTCCACCCTTTTGACTCAGACCTAATAAATAGGAGTTTGTTTCACCCTGCTGTCTGTCTCTTTGTATTTACCGCAGGATCCACAAGATGGCAGCATAGTTCAGATTATTTTCATATCATTTCCTCCTGAAGGTCTTTGTCTGAGCTATGAGTGAATACATCATTAAACACTTTGATGTCAGTATTGGAACTTTTATTTGTGCATAACATCAGGAACAAATACAATATCCTTTGCAAAACGGTCTGGAATTCTCAGAGCGTCTAAAAACAGAGCATGTGAAATAGATTTACTTAAGTACTTTACTTAAAGGTCCCATGTCATGCTTTTCCGGTTATTACCCGTCCCCTTGTGTGTTATGAAGGTTGTTCTGCATGTAAACGGTCTGCACTGCAGAGTCACAAACCCTCAAAGTACACCCTGTAGCGAGTACAACTCTAACACAGAAAATACCTTACTCTAGTTGCCAGGAAGCTATCCAAGCTGCGTTACAAAAATCACAATGTAACAAAGGGTACAAAATGTATCTCGTACATCCCAAAGCGGGACATGGGAATTCTGGAGAATGAAATAACGCTGACTGGTTTGATTTGACATATGGTGAAAATTGTGAGGGGGCCTGTGATCATTTGAAACATACCTTAAAACAAACCGTAGCTAAATATACAAAAACAATGCCTCAAAAGCGCATTGGCAAACAACTGTTACCATGGTTTAACACTGCTCTATGGGAATTAATGACAACAAGGGATGTAGCTCTAAAGAAATCTTTAAAATCGGGACCATAGAAACAGATCGCTTAATATACAAAAGTCTTAGAAATAAAGTTACAGTTCAATTAAGAAAGGGGAATTCTCAAAAACTATGGAAAACCATTGACAAACTTATTGGAAAATACCACTCAAAAAATTATAATATTGAGCTTATGATAAACGGAACCGGATAGCCTAGCCGTGGCCAACCATTTTAATACTTTCTTTATTGAATCTGTTTCAGAATTGGCCCACAGTTGCAATGCAACAGAACCGCTTCTTGCATTAGCTGACGATACAAAAGTGCTCAAACTCAACTGTACAAATGAGACTAAAGTGAATAAAATAATTTCCACCTTATCAAATTCTAAGGCTAAAGATCACTGGGGACTAGACACAGTATTTATAAAAAAACATAAAAAGGACTTAGCTAGCTCCATCACCTATATTACAAATCAATCATTAAAAGAAAATACATTTCCATCAGCTCTTAAAACTGCTATTGTAACACCAATTTTTAAATGTGGCGACAAGAAAGAAGTAGGCAACTATAGACCCATCAGCATTCTACCTGTTGTGTCCAAAGTAGTTGAAAAAGTAGTCGCGGAACAGCTGGTGTCACCGCCCGTCCACACAACGGCATGCGTTGACGCTTGGAGGTGGGCGTATCTGACGTTTGGGGATTTTTTGCGACCAACAACCAATCACATGAATCTCCCGCCCCCGACATACAAAGCAATAGCAATGTTAAAACGAATTAAACTGGATATAAAATCCCCAAACAGGCAAAAACCTACCAGTTTCACCCACTGTCTCTGCCACCTCCCTCCATGCCTCGCTCCTCCGGTTTGTATCCCGGTAGATGAACAGAGACTGATCATACAGCACCGGGTGATTCACTACCGCTATAATGAATTTTCCCTCCATTTTTTGGAATATGAGGAAATGTCCTGCGTAGTCTCTCCCAGCATACACGCGGTTTGATTGGCTAGCGCTTGTACTGGCAGATTTGCATAAACGGGATTTCATTGGCTGACGCCTCCGTCGAGGCGTCAAAAGTTGAACATTGCTCAACTTTTGAAGCCAGCAACGCCAGCAACGCTCCACGTCGCTTCCCAAAATGCAGTTCGGCTAAAAGTGACGTCACCCCATTCAAAGTGAATGGGCAGAAGCGTTGGAAGCTTCAACGCACGCCGCTGTGTGGACGGGCCGTCACACCTAAGCTACAACAACCTACTCCATCCTATGCAGTTTGGTTTTAGGACCAATTATTCTACTGAGACCAGTGCTGGAATTGGGCCCGGTACTCACCGGTACGCAGTACCGGCACTTCTGGTTCTGACCCATGGAGTACCGGCACTTCTTGCTCAGTACCGGCACTTCTGGTTCTGACCCATGGAGTACCGGCACTTCTTGCTCAGTACCGGCATGCTGGCGGTACTCCGGTACTCATGCACCGTGCCAGTACTCAACACTCTCCCGCCGTTCTTATTATACATCCATATATATATACAGCCGCCCGGTACTCAGTAGATGCGTCATGAGGTGCCGAACGGACATTCTCATCGCTCTAACCGCTGGAGTTTCACAGCGGCTGTCAGCTGTTTACTCCTGTCATTCAAACAGAACGTGCTGGAGAGGGGGGCGGGGCTTATCTTCTCCATGTAAATACTGTGGTGGAAACGACTATGTCAAAATTAACCTATTTGACCGTGATTTAATAGTAATACACGTTTCAAAATAATAATAATAATAATAATAATAATGCCGAAGTAACAACATACTGAAAACTGTTAGTAAAACCATGTTTTAATGCTTTACAATATACATACCTAGATGCACGTGTGTTGTGTTTATGCAGTGCAACTCCCACCCAGTGGGTGGCTATGTAGAGTGATAGAACAGAGCAGGCACGCCCCCCGAGAGAAGGAAAGCAAGTCACGTCACAAATTAGCATTTCTAAAATGTTAGCGTGGATTAATAAAAGTGCAAAAAGACAGCGGTTGTCGCCGGAAGAAACTTCAAATACAGAGAATGCTGTGCCTGTGTTGGAAATTGTGTCTGATGGGGAGCTTTCTCCTGATTGATCCTCCTGCTCCAAGTTCTAGTGCATTAGCATTAGCACTAGCTCCGCCGCCTCCTCCAGAGCCTCTAACGTTAGCTGCTGCTGGCTCAACTGCCACCACCAACACCGGGCAAAGCGATGCACCTGACTGCTGGACAACGGACCAGGTGCAATATTTTTGCAAGACCAATGCATGGCTCCTTCTTAAAGATAAGAAGCTAGGATGTCGGATATGCAGAGATGTCAAATCTTTGGGAATACACACTGGACAAGGACTGAAACTGTCAACTGAATGGGGTGAGTGTGCAGTGTCTCATTTCGGTGTTGACAAGGGCAAACAACAAGCTAGCCTGAGAAAAAAAATCAAAGAACATAAAGAATCACAAGCCCATGTAAAAGCTGCTGACATCCTTACATCTGCTTCACGTGAAACTATTCAACATCAAGTGCAGTCTATGCATACATCTGAATTAGACACCACTATCAGAGTTTTTCGAACGGCATATAAAATTGGCAAACATAGCCGGCCATTCACAGACATGCCAATTGATTTAATGTACAGAAACTGAATGGGCTGAACGTGGGCAGGGTTTTGCACTCCAATAAAACCTGTGGCGAAATCATCGACCACATAGCTCATGAGCTGAAGAAAAAAATGGCAAAAGACATTACAGAAAACCAAAGAAAACTCTGTGTTTTGGTCGATGAATCTACCACTATTAGTGGTAAAACGGTGCTTGTTGTGTGTCTACGCTCAGCATTAGCTGATGCTGAGCCCGAAACGTTTTTTTGGGAGCTGATCGAGTTGGATGGAACAACGGCTGATGACATCACAAAGGCGTTAATGGAGTGTCTTGGAAGAGATTTTAACGAGGACTTTTTAGGTCAGTGTTTCGTTTCTTTTGCATGTGATGGGGCTTCAGTCATGCTAGGGAAGAGAACAGGCGTTGCTACCCAGTTGTGTAGTAAATTCCCAAGCCTGTTTGTGTGGCACTGCTCCAATCATCGTCTAGAGCTGGCAGTTGGGGATGTGGTCAAGGAGGTCTCAGGGCTCAATCATTTCCAGATCTTTTTTGACAAACTCTATTCCTTGTTCCATGCCTCCCCCAAAAATCAGAGGCAGTTAGCGCAGTGTGCGCAAGCAGTCGGACAGCGTCTCCTGGTGATAGGGCGTGTTTTGTCCATCCGCTGGGTGGCTTCAAGTGAAAGGAGTGTCAGAGCAGTCTGGGAAAACTACTGAGTGCTTCATGATCACTTCACAAATGCTGCAAACGACACGAGCAGGGATTCCAGAGACAGAGCAAAGTACAAGGGCCTGGATGATGTGCTCACATCTGCAACGTTTGTCAGCAATCTGGGACTGATGTACGATGCGCTCACAGAGCTCAGCGACCTCTCTCGGCAACTCCAAAAAAGAGAGATGACACTGCCTACAGCAGATAGGCTCTTAACTCGAGAAATACGAGTTTTTGAATCCATGGTCACCATGCCTGGCCCACACATGACTACAGTTCATACAGCTCTAGCTGAGAAGTCCTTCAAGGGTGTTGCCCTGCGTGAGAATGGCAGGCTTGTACAGATTCATGCAGGTCAGTTTTTCGGCAGTATGGTAGAGAATCTGAGACACAGAATGACTTCCACAACCTCCTCTCATGTCAGCACAAGAGAAATCTCATTACATGGCCGGGAGGCCCGGGACAATCAGCTAATCCAGGACATGAAAGTTATCCATCCTGGAAGTTGGCCTGAAGAGGAGTTAGACGTACAGTATGGGGACGTAGAGGTGCTACGTTTGTGCGAAGTGCTGAAAGTGGACAGAAGAGAGACTGTTCAGGGCTTTCGCGAATACAAGGAAACCAGGGCATCCTGTACACCTGCTGCCATGGAGCCTCTACTGAAAGCAGTCCGAACCATCGCTGTCTCCACTAGTGAGTGTGAGCGGGCATTCAGCTGCATGAACGATATCCTTACTGCAAAAAGGAATGCTCTCTCTGTCAGCCGACTGTCCAGCCTGGTTTTCATTAAATGTAATGGACCATCACTAGGACAGTTCAATCCGGAACAGTATGTGAGGTCCTGGCTGGCAAAGGGAAGGAGAAGTGCTGATGAAAGAGCCTGTCCAGCTCCAGCCCTTGATACTGATGTCCCCAAGGCCTTCTGGAGCCTTTTCTAACAATGTGAAGTATATTGCAAAGCAGCTCACCCAGTGAGAAGACTTTTGGCATAATGT